GAAGGAAATGCAACGAAAATTTTCACTTTAAAATGTCTTGTGAAAGTCTTTGTTAAGGATGAAATTGTATATAATTTATTTGAACTTTTATTTATTTACAAAAGTGTAACTTCGCTTAATGATTCTTTGATGGGACAATTAACAAAACTGCACCCACAGACTTTCATTCTTACACACTTGTTTGGAAGGGATATGATAATTCATGTCTCTTAAAGGTTAAAATCTTACATACAAAAGAAGTAATTTTAATGTAAGGAACATTTAATTATGAAATAAGATTTTATAATGGAATTTGCAGAAATCTCATCTCCGAAGACTGGTGGCAGCAATTTTGTGGATCACACAAAAGGAGCAAGGCTAAGGTAACACGCTTTTAACATTTCACTTTTTTTCCAGTATATCCACCACAAAGTTTAAGAGAAAGATGATAATGCTCTTTCATTACCACCTGTTTTGAATATTTGTGATAATGTTTGGTCTTTTGGTGATAATAGTTGGTCTTTATTTTCATTTATATATTAAGGTTGATCATTTAAGAGAAAAATTGACAATGATTTCTCCCGAGATGTTTAGTTTAATGAGCACTCCTTGCTTGCCATATTGTTTTTCGCCCAGAAAACAGCTGGATGCAAGATAGCACGAGAGGACAGAAGTCATACATTTATAGATATTAGAGATGTTTATTGCTGGGAAACACACTCTTCAGGTATTTAGTCAGCTGTAGAATTTGAATATGATGTTTTTTATTATTGTCAAAGGGTAGGTTTTTCATTATTTGCAATCTAATATGTCTGCAGTGAAACATACTGAGATTTAGAAGAGTGCATTATTTAAAGTACAGGTGTTGTTAGATATCAGCATTTTATGTACATTTTCCCTTGTTAAGATCATCTATCGAGTATATTAGAGAGAAGGTGTATATTTGTAGTGTTTTAAATCAGAGTTATTTTCAGTGTATGACCTACATTTCAATATGTTTTGGCCACCTGTCACCCCTTTGGTCAAATAGAGTAGGACTTCCATTTCTTGGAATTGAGAGTCAGCGATGCACTGTTTCCAAGAATTTGCTTAGCCAGCGATGTTTGTTTACGAGTACATTTAAGTCTTTTTGAGTGTAGATTGGAGTTGTAAGAGATGTTATTCAATGTCTTATTATTCATGGTATGATAGATTATTTCTGGCAATGTAGAGTTTAATCTCATTATTGTATTGTTCATGATTCAGAGAAGCATAGTTATGACGTCGCAGAGATAATACGCACACATAATTCATTATATGAGAGATTTTCTAAGCTGCCCTATAAGAGATTAAGTGTAAACATTTATGAATTATAAAAAGTTATTTATCTGAGTTTTATGATTGTACAAATGACAAAGAGAGAGAGAGAGAGTAGATAATAGAGAATATATTGTATACTTATGAGAGCTCATTATTGTTTTCAGTAATTCATGATCCATACTTCCTTGTGTTTGGGAACAAATGGTGTTGGGAGACCTCCCACAATAGACTTGTTCTTTGACCTGTGAACCACCACCCATTTTGTTTTCTTATCATTTAATGTAAAATGGCTTTGTTACAATTTATGACTCCTGGTAGCAAAATTGCTACATCAGTTCAACTCCTATTAATTTGAAATAATCATTTCCTAGAATCTCTAAAGAAAACTAAATCTGACAGAATAACAACAATCTTCCATTATTTTGCAGGACGATGTCAAACAATTTGATGTCAAGAATGAATGTTGATGGGCAAACGGCAAGTTTTCTTTTTAAGAGTACAAGGTTGTATTCAATCATCTCTGGTAAGTTAATTACCAAGTGCAGCATTTTCATCATGACCATAGCAAATAATATGACAGTAAAGCATCGCCTAATTCATCCTACCAGTAATTCATAGTCTAATTAAATAATCAACTTGCAATTGAGGATTTTCTTTGAAAATGTTAAAGAAAACTTCCATTCCTTCGGTTGAAAATATAAATTGTTTACACTTTTCGGCCATATTTTGTATTGATGCTGTTCATATGTTCACATGCCAAGTTACAGCAGTGAAATGAACCTTTCAAGTGATTGATTAAACAAATACTTGAATCATTTAAGACAATATATCTTCCATATAAATTATTCATGTATTTAAATATAAAATTTCAGAATGTGTCCTATCTCAAGGGAATGAGATGGGAATGCATCCAAGCAAATTTCAAGAAAGAGTTAGGAACGTTTCTGAAGTATCCACCTGACCGCCAGGCAGGAGTGGCAGAAAGGGGAGGAGCTGATAATTGTGTTTTTGGAGTTGTAATTGTGTTGAAAAATCTGAACTGTGGTATTGAAATTGGTGGCGAAATGTCACTTTGATGCTATATGCAGATGATATTGTGTTATTAGCACAACAGAGATCACCTACAGACTATGTCATGTGTGATGTTTTACATTATGCATTAAACCATGTTTTCTGTAAAGTGCGTGTGTGTTCATAAAGATTTCATGAAAAGTGACTTGTTTTATGGGCTGTCTTCAGGTATAGTTCCTGGTCATCTTGGATCCCTTCATATGGTGAAAGTAATTGCATTGTGTTTATTCAGGGGTCTGTCTAAGAGCTGAAATTCAGACAAAATGTCTTCTCGACAATTTTCACCTTTTCAAGGTAACAATACAACAGTAAATAGTTTTTCTTAATTTGGAATACTCTTTTCTTCTTACTGGAATTATACGTCCAACTGACATAAAACTTAAATGAACATTATATTGAATGTGGAATTTAAATCCAAGTATTTTATCAGGTAAGAGCTTTTACTGCAATTTTCAGTTTGAACACTGTTTATTGCAGGTAGCTTTTTGGGTATTTTAGCTGATGCAGGAGTTTGGTGCTACTTTTATTGTAGTTTAAAGATGAAATGCGAAGTATGTACAGGAAAGCGTAATACCTCCCAGACACAAAATCACACCTAAACAACCCATTTTCAACGCTAATAATATGTCAGACTTCAACATTGATTCCATCGGGCCGGATATCTACGTAAAAAACTTTCATATACAACCTATTTTCAATCTATTTTCAACGCTTGAGGATCAACCTATTCTCAACGCTGATAATCGGGTCAAACTTCAACGCTGATTCCATCGCCGGATATCTACGCCAAAAAACTTTCATATACAACCTATTTTCAATCTATTTTCAACGTTGAGGATCAACCTTTTTTCAACGTTGATAATCAGTTAAACTTCAACGTTGATTCCACGTCGGATATCTACGTCAAAAAAACTTTCATATACAACCTATTTTCAATCTATTTTCAACGTTGAGGATCAACCTATTCTCAACGTTGAAACAACGTTGATGTGCCTGCTGGGTGAACTTGTTGTACATATTTCTTCTCAGAAACTTTGACGATTATGAGTTATACTCGCTGTAACAAGGCTGCTGTTCAATTTCGATATTGAATTGTCTGCAGATGTGCGTAATGGTCACGCATGTAGATAATCGTATCGTAGTCCGGGATTGCATATTCTAGCAATCTATACGGAAAGGTTGATTCCTGTGAAGATCTATGAAACGCCGTTGACTAATTAATACAGCCATCGCGCTCTGTGTTGTAAATAGCCTGTGCAATTGTCTTCGCGTGGAGGCTTATAGATCGCATATGGCATACAGCGTTGATAGACAACTTATGCATGTCTTGAACGGACTGACGAAGTAGCTATATATGACGAAAGTGGCTAATATATGGAGACCTTGAGGAGATTTCCTCGGTGGACGCCGAGACTTCGCAGAAAGCTCAAGTATCCATTCTAGATTTTCTTGTGGCGACGACGTCGGGATGATGATCGCTGATCATCGTGAGAGGCCCAGTTCAGCTGCTGGAACAATCTCGGGGTTGAGAAAAGTCCTAGCAGACTTCGCTGATTTCCCCTCAGAGGTCGACGCTGCCCTGGGGTGCCAAGTCTCTGCGCTGGAGTGTTGGTAGCTTACGGACCCTCAGGAAGATCATAGAATATTAGCGCTGGTACATCAGGCTGCATGTTGATCTGCTGACATCACTGTTGCCGACATCGGTCATTCTTTGATGTACATCAGGCATGATGATCGGCTGATCATCACTCTACAGGCCCAAATTCACGACGGGAACAATCTCGCTGAGAAAGTTCAAGTAGACTTCGCTGATTTCCCCTCAGAGGTCGCTGAGATGCAGTAGAAACCCTCTAGTCTTCGGCTAGCGACGATGCGATGTCTGGGGAAGCAGGACGCTTCTTGAGGCGGCGACTACGCCCCACTCTCCACCACTCTAGCGAACACCAGACGGGAGGGGGCTCTAACCAACAGCAGTAGACTGGCGAGGGTTCAGGTGTATCAGTCATGGCTAGACTCTCTGCATACGCGACCTATCTGCTGCGCCAGCCTCAAACGCAAAGTAATTATTTATTAAAGGCAGAATTGGATAAATTAGTACCGCAACTGCAACGTGAATAAAATGAAACATGGCGCAGTACAGCTAGGGCATATTAAATGCGGATCAGCAGCAGAATAAAAAACGTAATGTGCAACAGTACAGAATTTTTATCAACGTAATCCACTGAAACAACACGGCGTCCCGTGAATAAACAGTAGAAACACGACTAAATATCAATATATAATTGTGTCGGGAGACACAGGCGCTCTCACGTCCAGCTCACTGGGCGAACAAGGAGAGAGTGAGGCACATGGGTGGAGGTGGCGCTCTTGTTCCCGCGCTTGTGGAAGGGAGGTAACTCGTGGTGAGTACTAATTAGTGATTTTACATTGAAGGGAGCTTCAATTAGGGAGATACAAGTGTTCCACTATGTTCGCAAGAAGAAGAAGACAAGCAAAAAGAGCATGAGTCAGGATAAGGAAAAATAACAACTTTTAAAATATCCCAGTTGTAATTTTCCATATTTTTTTTATCATTTCATCTCCCATAGTACTTAGTTTAGAATCCCACATAAATCCCCGCATCAATGCTGGTAACCCCCCAGGTGTCTGACCTCTTGGCGGGGAGGTTGACGCCGGCAGCCAGGGTGGAGGTGCAGGTGAGGAGACACAGAGTCCCCTCGGAGTAGGCATCTTCCACAAGTCTCCGCTCATCCATGGTCAAGCCACTGTGGTGGTAGGCAATACCCAGATGGACGGTGTACTCCAGGACGGGGCAGATCTGACCATTGCCGTCACGATACAGCTCACGGAGCAGTTGCTTCCTCTCTGTGCGTTTTACTGTGGTCAGGTGTCTGTGTCAGAAAACATGGGGAATTATCTTGGTCAGGCGCCAGTCACAGAAAACATCAGGAATTATCTTGGTCAGGCGCCGTCACAGAAAACATCAGGCGCCGGTCACAGAAAACATCAGGAATTATCTCATTAAAATCTGCACTTTTACTAAAAAATCAATAATTCTGTCACTGTGTGACCAGTATGATTAGTAAATGATATTTTGTTTGTTGTTGGAATATAAATAATACCACAAAGTGCCGAAGATGTGTTTGGTTTGATATCTTTTGACACCATTATTTAAATATTAAGCCATTGTGACATATATGGGGAGATTTAAAAGCACAAAAGGTGCATAGCTGTAGACATATTCTAAATACGGACACGGTATCATTCAACTGAATAACAAATAATGTAAGACACAAAACACATCCAACCCGACACAGAAGACCTTGATGTTAGTATGGTTTAATGCTGAACCTTATTTAAGTTGGATGGCATGCCAGTTTGATGTGGGAGGACAGTATTGCAGATTAAGGTGTTTATTACTAAAGATCATCCCACAAGCATGGTTATAAAGCTGGTAAACTAAGAAATGTAAACAGCAAAGCTGGGATTGGAACCTATTGGGGTATGCACCTATTCACAGAGATTTGCATTGAATGACTAGATCGTTATGGCCTTGTAACATAAGGAAACACTTACCTGTGATGTTTGATCATCAGCTTAGACAACATCATGGCCACATTCTCACAGTTCTTCTTGGTGGGGCAAAATACGAGGCAGGAGTTATTGGGAATCACCTCCATCACCAAACCCAGGAGATGGTCAGGGTCCTGCTTCTTTAAGTCATCATTGTACTGAAACAGTGGGCATTGTACTGAAGCAGTGGACAATGTACCAAAACAGTGGGCATTGCACTGCAACAGTGGACATTGTGGTGAAACAGTGGGCATTGTGGTGAAACAGTGGACACTGTATTGAAAGAGTGGGCATTGTGGTGAAACAGTGGACATTGTACTCAAACAGTGGGCATTGTGGTAAAACAGTGGACATTGTACTGAAACAGTGGACATTGGAGTATTACAGGATACATTGTACTGAAACAGTGGCCATTGTACTGAAACAGTGGGCATTGTGGTGAAACAGTGGATATTTTGCTGAAATCATGGACATTGTACTGAAACTGTGGACATTGTACTCAAACAGTGGGCATCGTGGTGAAACAGTGGATATTGTACTGAAACTGGGGGCCTTGTGGTGAAACAGTGGACATTGTACCAATACAGTGGACATTGCACTGAAACAGTGGGCATTGTACTGAAGCAGTTGACATTGTTCAGAAACAGTGGGCATTGCACTGCAACAGTGGACATTGTGGTGAAACAGTGGGCATTGTGGTGAAACAGTGGGCATTGTGGTGAAAAAGTGGATATTGTACTGAAATAGTGGACATTGTACTGAAACAGTGAGCATTGTGGTGAAACAGTGGACATTGTACTGAAACAGTGGACATTGTATGGACATTGTACTCAAACAGTGGACACTGTATTGAAAGAGTGGGCATTGTGGTGAAACAGTGGACATTGTACTCAAACAGTGGGCATTGTGGTGAAACAGTGGACATTGTACTGAAACAGTGGACATTGGAGTATTACAGGATACATTGTACTGAAACAGTGGCCATTGTACTGGCACAGTGGGCATTGTGGTGAAACAGTGGATATTTTGCTGAAATCATGGACATTGTACTGAAACTGTGGACATTGTACTCAAACAGTGGGCATCGTGGTGAAACAGTGGATATTGTACTGAAACTGGGGGCCTTGTGGTGAAACAGTGGACATTGTACCGATACAGTGGACATTGCACTGAAATAGTGGGCATTGTACTGAAGCAGTTGACATTGTTCCGAAACAGTGGGCATTGCACTGCAACAGTGGGCATTGTACTGCAACAGTGGACATTGTAATGAAACAGTGGGCATTGTGGTGAAAAAGAGGATATTGTACTGAAATAGTGGACATTGTACTGAAAGAGTGGACATTGTACTGAAACAGTGAGCATTGTGGTGAAACAGTGGACATTGTACTGAAACAGTGGACATTGTACGGACATTGTACTGAAACAGTGGACATTGTATTTAAAGAGTGGGCATTGTGGTGAAACAGTTGACATTGTACTGAAACAGTGGGCATTGTGGTGAAACAGTGGCCACTGTACTGAAACAGTGGGCATTGTGGTGAAACAGTGGATATTTTACTGAAATCAGGGACATTGTACTGAAACTGTGGACATTGTACTGAAACAGTTGGCATTGTGGTGAAACAGTGGATATTGTACTGAAACTGTGGGCCTTGTGGTGAAACAGTGGACATTGGACTGAAATAGTGGGCACTGTGGTGAAATAGTGGACATTGTACTGAATCAGTGGATATTGTACTGAAACTGTGGACATTGTACTGAAACAGTGGGCATTGTGGTGAAACAGTAGACATTGTACTGAAGCTGTGGACATTGTACCAAAACAGTGGAAATTGTACTGAAACAGTGGGCCCTGTGGTGAAACAGTGTACATTGTACTGAAACAGTGGACATTGTACCGAAACAGTGGACATTGTACTGAAACAGTGGACATTGAACTGGAACAGTGGACACTGTACTGAAACAGTGGACACTGTACTGAAACAGTGGACATTATACCGAAACAGTGGACATTGTACCGAAACAGTGGACATTGAACTGAAACAGTGGACATTGTACCGAAACAGTGGACATTGTACTGAAACAGTGGACGTTGAATGTTTCAGGATACATTGTACTGAAACAGTGGACATTGTACCGAAACAGAGGACATTGTACTGAAACAGTGGACGTTGGAGTGTTTCAGGATACATTGTACTGAAATAGTGGGCATTGTGGTGAAAAATTGGATATTGTTCTGAGTCAGTGGGCATTGTACTGAAACAGTGGGCATTGGAGTCATACAGGAGACACAGTACTGAAACAGTGGACATTTTACTGAAGCTGTGGACATTGGAGTCATTCCTGAAAGAAGAATGTTGTACCACCATTGCCTTGAAAGGATTAAACATTGTTGTTGCATGCAATGAGTGAATGATGTAACAATTAGGCTACTCACTGCTACCTTCAAGTGAACATGGTGAAGATATAATAATACACAAGTGGGAAATAAACTCCAAATGACAGTGGCCTGTAAATAACTGGCTAAACAACAGAAATAAAATGGCACAACCACAATCTAATTTAGTTTTTTCAACTGACAGGAGTGCTGGGTACCCAGTCTAAGTAAACTTAGGCTCAGTATTATTCGTTACACTGCCATACTGAGTTTAACAAAACCTAGTAGAAGGTCGTGTCAGCTAACTTTTGGACTGACCAATCAGAACACAGCTTACCAAATCACAAAACTTAACATTCGCACATACGGTTTGAACCTTTACCTAAAAAACTCAAATGATTCCGAATGCTATTTTCTGCACGATCGCTTCCGAGTGAAAAACGCAATGAGTAAACAGTCTTCGAAAATAGCGCTTTTGTCAATATTCAAGGATGTCATCTTGCGAAAATATAATAAAATCGTAACCATGTCATTAGAAACCCCTAAGCATATATACTGCAGGTCAAATATCTGTTTTATATGGATTTTCGTTTGTTGATAGATCAGTGTCAGCGAGCAGGGAAGAGAAAATCCCAAAACCGTTTTGTAAGTCCCGCTGAACTCTAACAAGTAGTCGTTGTCTGATTGGTTAAACCGTTCGGCCGTCTCCGTTTGATTGGACGGTCATAGGTCACTCAAAGGTTAGCTGACGTGACCTTCTTCTAGGTTTTGTTAGACTCAGTATAGCAGTGTAACAAATAATACTGAGCCTAAGTTTACTTAGACTGGCTGGGTACCTATCTCACCTACATCTGGGGATGTCACGATACACAAGTTTCATGTAACACGATACCCATGTCACGATTCGATACGTATCACGATACCCATGTCACATTTCGATATGTATGACGATACCTATTTTTGCATCATTATTGTGTAAATTTAGTTACATTTTGAACATTAATATTTCATATTTCATAATTGTCCAAGAAAAGATCAACATTTTTAATTCTCCGATATCAAAAGGTCTAATTTCCCATCTTTGTGCATCAAAAATAATCATTTATAACTCTCATAACATCAAAAAACATGATACAATTGCAAAATGTAAACGATACATAAACATACTTAAACCGATACTTTCAAAACTAAATATCGACACAGTTTCGAATGTATCGATAATTGTATCGTCTTAGAATAAGTATCGATGTATCAATGTATCGAGACCACTTACTGGGAACATGGTGACCCGGTCATGCTTGAGGATGTCCTGCCCCCTCAGGGCCACCTGACCACTGTCCACCATAAACACGCTATCCTCCACCTTCACATATTCTGTCAGCTTCACCTGGTAGAAATCACAGATGAATCATTTGAACATCACCCTGTGTTCTCTAAAGGCAAAGGACATACCAGTAATTTCATATTTTATTTCTCTCAATGAAAAGCCTGATTGGACAGATACAAGAAACAAAACTAACATAAACATGCGAGCAGGGATGGTGATTAACCATCGGAATTTGTCATGCAGATCACTTTAACTACCTAAATGTACAACAACACAGTTGATATACTAGTCCATTGGTCATGACCTGTGATGACCCTTAGGAGCTCAAATACAGATTAGAACCCCTCCATTACAGGCAGAAAACAAACTCACTTCCATCAGCTGTAGAATTTAATACTTGAAGTACTGTTTACCTTGCTTGAACACAATCAACTCAATAAGTCGACTCAACAAACTCAAGCTGGTGGGGATGCTTTGTGGTGACTGAAGTTAGTTTTGTGTATCTCCATCATGGTAGTTTGATTACATGCATGTAGATTGTACATGTCTATACTCACTGGGCGAAAGTTGTTGGAGTACACCTCTGCCTGCAGAAATGTCTGAATGTCTCCGATGTTGTTCAGAGTTGCACTCATGCCAATAATCTGTGTCCCTGACAACAAACAGACACAGATTCCACAAGTCAGAACCAATGATTAATAATTTCCACTCTTGCACATGTAGTTTTGCAGATATGTAAGTTGGTGGATGTTCCCTTCCACTTCATGAGTGTAAAGAATAATTTTGTTGCAGAGAATTATAAATTGCAATACAATTTTAACTTTAACACAGATCAAGCACAGTGGCCCTACTCACCCCTACAGTGCAGCAACTTGAGTAAGGCTACCTCCAGTATGGCCCCTCTGCTCCCTCCCTCTCCTATCATGTGCAGCTGGCCCTACTCACCCCCACAGTGCAGCAACTTGAGTAAGGCTGCCTCCAGTATGGCCCCTCCGCTACCCTCCTCTCCTATCAAGTGCAGCTGGCCCTACTCACCCCCACAGTGCAGCAACTTGAGTAAGGCTGCCTCCAGTATGGCCCCTCGCTCCCTCCCTCTCCTCCTATCATGTGCATCACTCACACCCCACAGTGCAGCAGCTGGCCCTCCACCCTCACCCCTCACACAGTGCAGCAACTTGAGTAAAGGCTACCTCCAGTATGGCCCCTCGGCTCCCTCCCTCTCCTATCAAGTGCAGCTGGCCCTACTCACCCCCCACAGTGCAGCAACTTGAGTAAGGCTACCTCCAGTATGGCCCCTCCGCTACCCTCCTCTCCTATCAAGTGCAGCTGGCCCTACTCACCCCCACAGTGCAGCAACTTGAGTAAGGCTACCTCCAGTATGGCCCCTCCGCTACCCTCCTCTCCTATCACGTGCAGCTGGCCCTACTCACCCCCACAGTGCAGCAACTTGAGTAAGGCTACCTCCAGTATGGCCCCTCCGCTACCCTCCTCTCCTATCACGTGCAGCTGGCCCTACTCACCCCCACAGTGCAGCAACTTGAGTAAGGCTGCCTCCAGTATGGCCCCTCGCTCCCTCCCTCTCCTATCATGTGCAGCTGGCCCTACTCACCCCCACAGTGCAGCAACTTGAGTAAGGCTACCTCCAGTATGGCCCCTCCGCTCCCTCCCTCTCCTATCATGTGCAGCTGGCCCTACTCACCCCCACAGTGCAGCAACTTGAGTAAGGCTACCTCCAGTATGGCCCCTCGGCTCCCTCCCTCTCCTATCATGTGCAGCTGGCCCTACTCACCCCCCCACAGTGCAGCAACTTGAGTAAGGCTACCTCCAGTATGGCCCCTCGGCTCCCTCCCTCTCCTATCATGTGCAGCTGGCCTCTACTCACCCCCACAGTGCAGCAACTTGAGTAAGGCTACCTCCAGTATGGCCCCCTCGCTCCCCTCCTCCCTCTCCTATCATGTGCAGCTGGCCCTACTCACCCCACACAGTGCACAGTGCAGCAACTTGAGTAAGGCTACCTCCAGTATGGCCCCTCCGCTACCCTCCTCTCCTATCAAGTGCAGCTGGCCCTACTCACCCCCACAGTGCAGCAACTTGAGTAAGGCTGCCTCCAGTATGGCCCCCTCGCTCCCTCCCTCTCCTATCATGTGCAGCTGGCCCTACTCACCCCCACAGTGCAGCAACTTGAGTAAGGCTGCCTCCAGTATGGCCCCTCGGCCCCTCCCTCCCTCTCCTATCAAGTGCAGCTGGCCCTACTCACCCCCACAGTGCAGCAACTTGAGTAAGGCTACCTCCAGTATGGCCCCTCGCTCCCTCCCTCCCCTATCACGCAGCTGGCCCTCCTATCATGTCATGCAGCTGGCCCTACTCACCCCCACAGTGCAGCAACTTGAGTAAGGCTGCCTCCAGTATGGCCCCTCGCTCCCTCCCTCTCCTATCATGTGCAGCTGGCCCTACTCACCCCCCACAGTGCAGCAACTTGAGTAAGGCTGCCTCCAGTATGGCCCCTCCGCTACCCTCCTCTCCTATCACGTGCAGCTGGCCCTACTCACCCCCACAGTGCAGCAACTTGAGTAAGGCTGCCTCCAGTATGGCCCCTCGGCTCCCTCCCTCTCCTATCACGTGCAGCTGGCCCTACTCACCCCCACAGTGCAGCAACTTGAGTAAGGCTGCCTCCAGTATGGCCCCTCGGCTCCCTCCCTCTCCTATCATGTGCAGCTGGCCCTACTCACCCCCACAGTGCAGCAACTTGAGTAAGGCTGCCTCCAGTATGGCCCCTCCGCTCCCTCCCTCTCCTATCAAGTGCAGCTGGCCCTACTCACCCCCACAGTGCAGCAACTTGAGTAAGGCTGCCTCCAGTATGGCCCCTCCGCTCCCCCCCTCTCCTATCATGTGCAGCTGGCCCTACTCACCCCCACAGTGCAGCAACTGCAGCAACTTGAGTAAGGCTGCCTCCAGTATGGCCCCTCGCTCCCTCCCCTCCTCTCCTATCAAGTGCAGCTGGCCCTACTCACCCCCACAGTGCAGCAACTTGAGTAAGGCCGCCTCCAGTATGGCCCCTCGGCTCCCTCCCTCTCCTATCATGTGCAGCTGGAACAAATCACATCATCAGAATCCTGTCCCTCACCCTTACCTCATACGAATTAATCGTGTATTCCTTGATTCAAACCGTTTCCCTTAATTAATTTCAGTTCGTCATTAGCGATCGCTAGGACCAGAAACAAACGTAATCATAACATAAGGGTTACAACAAGGACCTGTTGACTTTGATGCATATTTTCTGAGACTTCAGTTTGAAAATCCACTTTAATACTCTATCTAAAACTCTTTTGGAGTAATAGCCATATTATTATTGTGAAGGTTATTTATTACTGGAGTCAGCAATATTCCATCCTCGATTACTCCAGGGCATACATTCCAATAACCCTCTATAGTGGAGGGTTATCGGAACGTATACGCTGGAGTTATCGAGGATGGCAATATTATGTGGACATCACATGTACATAAAACTTTTTCTGTAAATAATGCACAAAAAGCTGTATGCCTCTCTTATTTGTACTCAGACATAAACATGTATTGTTGTTCTAAGCTACACCAGCATGCAACGTACAGTGGACAGGTCATGAAAAGATGCAAATTTGAAGTCATAAAAAGAATAAATATTTTAAGTAGAATTATCATTAAAATGATAGTCACTGGTTCAGAAATATCAAACAGCCTAGGTACAAAGATGTAGAACTATAGTGAACACTCAAAGAAAACTGTCAATACCAAATGTGAATGATAATGTGTGCATGTGGTTAGTAAGTACCCAATGGCTTCCAGAATGATATTAAACCTGTTTACCCAGTGTCGCTGCCAGAGACAAATAGAATGATGACATTTAATTAAATGACATTCTTTAATATCATTACATATATGAACAAATTGTGAATGGAATATTTGATGACATTCAATGTGCTGGTAAACAGTGCTCACCTCGTCCACAACCACAAGGCCTAGAGAGTCTAGGTAGTGAGTCTCTATCATGCTGTTCACCAAGGAGTGGGCCTTCTCTAATGTTGCTATGTAGAGGGTCCGCTTGCGGCGCCGCTTGATGGGAGGGAACCTACCCTTGCTGCCGGCATACTCCTCAACAAGGAAGTCTAACTCCAGGGCAAACTGACACAGGTTCCGTACCTAGTAACCATGGTAACAACAACATATGTTCTTTGATGTCTCAGTCTTGTATTGTCAATGTTATGCTATTACTCACTTCACATGATGTTCAATGCAGTGACAACAAGGAAATGCTAATTCTGGTGAAGCATAATAGGCTTTAGTTTGGGGAGCTTTGAGTCCCATCCGGGAATTGAAAAAGCAGAATGAGTTAGATCACTGACTTTGTGTGCTGGTGATTTGATGCCTCACACTGAGAGGGGACTCATTCCAAACAGTACTAGAGTTTGTACCATACTAATAAAAAAATGTAATCGCAAACATACAATATTACATTTGACCACTTTCTACAAGACTTTGTGTATCCACAGACTAAGAAACACCATTTGTTTAATTTTTAAAGCTATCCTTTCTTTGTCCTATCCATCAAGGATACAACAAACACTCCTGTAAATAAAAACACTTTTATTTCATTTTCTAAATGACATTGGCCAGTTCAAACCACCATTAATAAAATTACAAACATACAGTGATGTGGACCAATTCTTACCCAGAATTCCCACTGGGTAAAACAAGTTTTGCCTTTTGTGTATACCTTTTCCTGTACGATGGAGACATAAGGCAGGATGAGGATGGCATCTTTCTTCTTACAAAGCAGCTCACGAAGGATGAGGATCTCGGCAACTAAAGTCTTGCCTCCGCTGGTGGGGAGGGAGTAGATCAGGTTCCTGCCCTGCAGCACAGCTGGGAGTCGGAGACATTCATCCTGCCATTCTGTCCACACCAACATCAACAACATTGAACTACCAGTGTCACACCAACATCAACAACAGTGAACAACCAGTGTCACATCAACATCAACAACAGTGAACTACCAGTGTCACACCAACATCAACAACAGTGAACTACCAGTGTCACACCAACATCAACAACAGTGAACAACCAGTGTCACACCAACATCAACAACAGTGAACTACCAGTGTCACACCAACATCAACAACAGTGAACTACCAGTGTCACACCAACATCAACAACAGTGAACTACCAGTGTCACACCAACATCAACAACAGTGAACAACCAGTGTCACACCAACATCAGTGTCACACCAACATCAACAACAGTGAACTACCAGTGTCACACCAACATCAACAACAGTGAACTACCAGTGTCACACCAACATCAACAACAGTGAACTACCAGTGTCACACCAACATCAACAACAGTGAACAACCAGTGTCACATCAACATCAACAACAGTGAACAACCAGTGTCACACCAACATCACCAACAGTGAACTACCAGTGTCACACCAACATCAACAACAGTGAACTACCAGTGTCACACCAACATCAACAACAGTGAACAACCAGTGTCACATCAACATCAACATCACCAACAGTGAACAACCAGTGTCACATCAACATCAACAACAGTGAACTACCAGTGTCACACCAACATCAACAACAGTGAACAACCAGTGTCACATCAGCATCAGCAACGGTGAACTACCAGTGTCACACCAACATCACCAACAGTGAACTACCAGTGTCACACCAACATCACCAACAGTGAACTACCAGTGTCACACCAACATCAACAACAGTGAACTACCAGTGTCACACCAACATCAAACATGAACTAACACACCAGCATCAACAACAGTGAACAACCAGTGTCACACCAACATCAACAACAGTGAACTACCAGTGTCACATCAACATCACCAACAGTGAACTACCAGTGTCACACCAACATCAACAACAGTGAACTACCAGTGTCACACCAACATCAACAACAGTGAACAACCAGTGTCACATCAACATCAACATCACCAACAGTGAACAACCAGTGTCACATCAACATCAACAACAGTGAACTACCAGTGTCACACCAACATCAACAACAGTGAACAACCAGTGTCACATCAACATCAACAACAGTGAACTACCAGTGTCACACCAACATCACCAACAGTGAACTACCAGTGTCACACCAACATCACCAACAGTGAACTACCAGTGTCACACCAACATCAACAACAGTGAACTACCAGTGTCACACCAACATCAACAACAGTGAACTACCAGTGTCACATCAACATCAACAACAGTGAACTACCAGTGTCACACCAACATCAACAACAGTGAACTACCAGTGTCACATCAACATCACCAACAGTGAACTACCAGTGTCACACCAACATCAACAACAGTGAACTACCAGTGTCACACCAACATCAACAACAGTGAACTACCAGTGTCACACCAACATCATCAACAACAGTGAACTACCAGTGTCACACCAACATCAACAACAGTGAACTACCAGTGTCACACAACATCAACAACGGTGAACTACCAGTGTCACACCAACATCAACAACAGTGAACTACCAGTGTCACACCAACATCAACAACAGTGAACTACCAGTGTCACACCAACATCAACAACAGTGAACAACCAGTGTCACACCAACATCAACAACAGTGAACTACCAGTGTCATCAACATCAACAACAGTGAACAGCCAGTGTCACACCAACATCAACAACAGTGAACTACCAGTGTCACACCAACATCAACAACAGTGAACAACCAGTGTCACACCAACAACGGTGAACAACCAGTGTCACACCAGCATCACCAACAGTGAACAGCCAGTGTCATCACATCAATCACCAACAGTGAACAACCAGTGTCACATCCAACATCAACAACGGTGAACTACCAGTGTCACACCAACATCACCAACAGTGAACGACCAGTGTCACACCAACATCACCAACAGTGAACTACCAGTGTCACACCAACATCACCAACAGTGAACTACCAGTGTCACACCAACATCAACAACAGTGAACTACCAGTGTCACACCAACATCAACAACAGTGAACTACCAGTGTCACACCAACATCAACAACGGTGAACAACCAGTGTCACACCAACATCAGCAACAGTGAACAACCAGTGTCACACCAACATCACCAACAGTGAACTACCAGTGTCATCATCAACATCACCAACAGTGAACAACCAGTGTCACACCAACATCAACAACAGTGAACTACCAGTGTCACATCAACATCACCAACAGTGAACTACCAGTGTCACACCAACATCAACAACAGTGAACTACCAGTGTCACACCAACATCACCAACAGTGAACTACCAGTGTCACACCAACATCAACAACAGTGAACTACCAGTGTCACACCAACATCACCAACAGTGAACTACCAGTGTCACACCAACATCAACAACAGTGAACTACCAGTGTCACACCAACATCACCAACCAACGGTGAACTACCAGTGTCACACCAACATCAACAACGTGTGAACTACCAGTGTCACACCAACATCACCAACAGTGAACTACCAGTGTCACACCAACATCAACAACAGTGAACAACCAGTGTCACACCAACATCAACAACAGTGAACTACCAGTGTCACACCAACATCAACAACAGTGAACTACCAGTGTCACACCAACATCAACAACAGTGAACTACCAGTGTCACACCAACATCAACAACAGTGAACAACCAGTGTCACACCAACATCAACAACAGTGAACAACCAGTGTCACATCAACATCAACATCACCAACAGTGAACTACCAGTGTCACACCAACATCAACAACAGTGAACTACCAGTGTCACACCAACATCAACAACAGTGAACTACCAGTGTCACACCAACATCACCAACAGTGAACTACCAGTGTCACACCAACATCAACAACAGTGAACTACCAGTGTCACACCAACATCACCAACAGTGAACTACCAGTGTCACACCAACATCACCAACAGTGAACTACCAGTGTCACACCAACATCAACAACAGTGAACTACCAGTGTCACACCAACATCACCAACAGTGAACAACCAGTGTCACATCAACATCAACATCACCAACAGTGAACTACCAGTGTCACACCAACATCACCAACAGTGAACTACCAGTGTCACACCAACATCACCAACAGTGAACTACCAGTGTCACACCAACATCAACAACAGTGAACTACCAGTGTCACACCAACATCAACAACAGTGAACTACCAGTGTCACACCAACATCAACAACAGTGAACTACCAGTGTCACACCAACATCAACAACAGTGAACTACCAGTGTCAGAACAGGTATACTAATGTCTTTGATGTATTTTGCTGTTGTATCGAAGTGAGTGAGTTTAGTTTTACGCCGCACTCAGCAATATTCCAGCTATATGGTGGCGGTCTGTAAATAATCGAGTCTGGACCAGACAATCCTGTGATCAACAGCATGAGCATTGATCTACACAATTGGGATAAGATGACATGTATCAACCCAGTCAGCAAGCCTGACCACCCGATCCCGTCACCTCTTACGATAAGCATGGGTTACTGAAGACCAATTCTAATCTGGATCTTCATGGGTCTGCTGTTATATTGGAAGTCACCATCCCTCTACATACACATGGACAAAAGTTGGATTTAACTTGGTTTACATATTTCTATGTGCAAAATCCTGGTTAGAAGATGGAGAAACATGAATGCAAATGGAAAATGTTTGAATATTTGATTCTACAGAAAGTTTTCTGGAAATGTTGCCATATGTTTCAATTAAATCATAGCATGTACAGTTTAACAACTTGTGGATTTGTATGCAATTTTGTTTGTGGTGACTATGTGAGTGAGTGAGTATGGTTTTACGCCACTTTCAGCAATATTCCAGCAATATCATGGCAGGGGACACCTGAAATAGGTTTAGCAGGTGACTATGTAAGTTGCATTAAATTATGGCACTTTCCAGTCTGTGAGAACCCAGTTTGTTGTGTGTATTGGACACAAACTGTTGCAAATAAATTTCCTTCTATATTTCATATTTACAGACTGATTCTCTCACCATAGAACTTTGTGATTCCCCTGTGAGTCTCCAACAACTTCTGCACCTTGGATGGAAGGCCATAGAACGGCCCTATATCCACATCCGTGCCCTGCTTCTGTATCGCTAGCGCCTCCATCTGAGCCTGCTCCAACACCGTCTCACGGAGCAGATCCACGGCATGATTGACTCCAGACGGAGCCATGGAGTTGCGCTTCATCTTCTGCTTCAGTCTGTCCTTCAAGGACAGATGTTTGGCTCCTCCCTGTTCCGCATCTCCTTTCCCATCACTCACAGCTGGCCAGACTTTGGAGGTTCCTCCATCAACTGGAAAACCTCTGTTTTGTTTGCTTGTTGCCTTAACTACGACATTGTCAATTCCACATGTCACAGATTCAACTGCATCTGATGTTTTTGATGCTGCATGAACACTTGGTAAGTCAGATTTCTCTGACTTTCTTACCAGTGCTCCTTTCTTCCCTGGTATCTGTCAACAACAAAATGTAAATAGCAATCACACATGCATTGTGTGTTCTTCTTAGTTCCCAAATGATTATGATGATAAAGAAACAGTTCATATTGTTCATACATCCTTTCTCAAAACATCTCTGCTTGAGGTGTCTTAACAGTCTGTCCAAAGGTTCAGTCCAGTAGAACCCATTTTGATCTTGCATTTGTGATAATAGTTTGAGCTTAAACCACTATGTCTACCAGCCATAGAGGAAACCCTAAATGTGTTTATTGTTTTGCGTCTACTGGAACAGCATATTTGTCAGCCTTGCTTATGGCAGTGTATGAAATAAGGCCCGTCCGACCGCCCAAGGCGGTCTAGATTTCTCACGGATGGTCTCAATTTACAGCTAGCCAGCCCGATGGTCTGGTAAATTTTTTAGATGTTCCATACATCTGAGTAAATTCACCATCTTTGGTCTGTTTAAATCCATTTTGGGCTGGTAACATTTTGAAGTTGCCATCCCTGATGTCTGGCTGGATTTTGGCTTATTTCATACACTGCTACTGGACCACCAATCCTGTAGAAATAACATTGTAAGCCATTGACTAGGATTGAAAATTAACAGCATATCACCAGACTACCTCCTAACCATATTACTACATCAAGGATTCCAGGCCCCTTAATAACAGGAACACTGTAAAATATTGAGGTTCCTTGCAAACATTTGTTTGATTAAATGATACCAAATAACTCACATTTGAATGACTCTTTTGTGGATAAGAGGAGTGATTGTCACTACAGAATGAGTTAATGAACCAGTCTTCTTCAATACTGAAGGAGTCATGTGCCTCTGCGTGCATTGTTTGTGTCGTGGTTTTCTCGTGATGCTTCTTGGCACTGCTAACAATACCACTGGAGTCTAGAAGAGATGAAGCACTCCTTTTCCTTGAACGAGCAACCCTTCTAGTTGGACCAGTTTCATCACTCTCCATCTGAATCCAGTAACTGTACCTTATTATCATGGCAATAGAAAACATGCTGTTGAAGGAAGCTGAGGTTATGTCATCCTGTAATCTGTTTGTTCTTTAACTCAGTTTCTAAACCACAGATGAGGTCTATCAATGCCCCTTACAAATATATGCCAATGTGCACCATTCGAATTACAGCACACTTAACATCTCTGATTGGCAACAAATTAGTGCTGGGAATTGGTTGAAATCTCACAATTGATGATTGCTTCATTACCAACGAACAATCATCGAAAAAAATTGGTTAGTGTCATTTTTCAGATTTTCCTATCCAGGTTGTTATTGCAGAAAAGTATAACATGATGCAACTTGCTACTTTAAAGTGATGACTAATATATCATGAACATGAACTTCCTGGAGTCTTAGAGAAATATTCAGTGATGACTTTTCAGTTAGTGAAGTGACTTTTCTAAGAATTAAACATGTTTTCAGGACCTGACACCTTCTAAGATATGTTCCATCGTCAAGTATTTCAAACACTAAAACAGTAGTTCCAAAATTGTTTATGTTCGATTATGAGAAAAATATGATCGATTGCTTGGTCGTTTGGTCACTGCGACCAATCTTCGATTATTTCAATTAATCGGAACACCACTACAACAAATCATAAATAAATCTATATACTCTGGATTTCATTATATGTTCTGGCTTTGACTCTTTCATCAAAATTCCCAAACTAGGTCATACTTTTGGGTGAATGAGTCTAGTTTTACGACGCTTTTAGCAATATTCCAGCAATATCGGGCAGGGGACACCAGAAATGGGCTTCTCACATTATTATATGATATTCATATAGCCCACATATCGAGGCAACTAGTGCTTGCTCAAGGCGCTGGTATTTTTTTTACCCATGTGGGGAATCGAACCCGGGTCTTCTGTGTGATGAGTGAACTCTTTAACCACTGGGCTACCCCACCACCCCATTATACTATTGGAAAGAAATGACAGACAGATAGTAAAAGACTGAAGTATATGTCCTGTGAGTTATTGGAATTTTGGTTATGTGATTTAGTCACAACATGTCTTTTCCAAAATGTGCAAAGTAATATTTGACAAATGTGCATATTTGGTGAAGGGAAATATATATAACAAGAGTTGATTTGGCTGACCAATTTCAGATAAATATCGGAGGCGGTGGGGTAGCCTAATGGTTAACGCGTTCGCAAGTCACGCTGGAGACCCGGTTTCGATTCCCCACATGGGCATAATGTATGAAACACATTTCTGGTGTCCCTCGCCGTGATATTGCTGGAATATTGCTAAAAGCGGCGTAAAACCATACTCACTCACTCACTCAGATAAATATCTCTCCATTTTAAAGAAAACAGTAAAACAGGTAACATGCTGTAATGGGATATAGTGAATTCATAAACCATGTGGAAACGCATTTCACAGCAAACTCATTTTGTGTAAACACATGCATTCATCAGTTTCTAAAATTAAAAGTCAATTTCAATAATAAAATAGAAAATCTTATGAACAGAAAAACAGAAATCTGATGAATGCCTCCATATACAGATGAAATTGCCATGGCAGGACGTAACCTTAGAAATATCTAAAACAAAAAAAGCAGGCATTTATCATTCCATTTGAAATAGCGAATAGCTTATCATGTAAGAAAGAAGGGCAGGGGTTCAAAAATCCCATCGCCCGACGCCCGGGACAAAACAGTTTTCATTTCGGGCAATCAAATAATGGTATCTTACTTGTCCGTGGGCTACTAGATAATCTCTGCTTGCGGTTTCAAACTGCAAATAAACTTAGATTTAATTTCATATCTGCTCAAAATGTAGCTATTAAATTTTGCAATGATAATTAAGTAGAGTTATCCTTCTTTGCCATTTATCACTTCTCTATAATAGTCCAGTGAACATTAACATCAAATACCATGTTGATTTATTCTTTCATAATTACATCATCATGATTATGTCATAAAAATCAGGGCAAGTGGAAAAATAGCCAGGACAAGTTACTTTCTTAAAGTCACTTGCCCTGTGGCAAGTGGCTTTTAAAAAGATTTTTGAACCCCTGAAGGGAGAAAGAGACAACATCAACTTTGGAGTAATTCTTCATAATAATACAGTATGTATATGAATAAATTCAGGCACAATTATACAATTTGTCCTCCACCTATAAATATCATAAGTCGGCATGCAAATAATTAAATGAACTTCAGCCTTAAAACTGCAAGAATTTTGTGAAAGATTTCCCAACTACATGAATATTTTAAATATATTTATTTATTTATTTTCAATTGCATAATTACAAATGTTTGGCAACCAGTTTCTTACTTATACTCTAGGTGCTCCATATACAGCAATTTGGGCTAGGAGGTAACATTTCCACGAGCTGACGCTGACATAGAGCACTTCCAGCTTTGGCATACATTACAACCCAGTGTACTTATGACATCAACAGTCATACTTTGCTTATGTCACATGTGGGTCAGAGTTAGGGTTGTGTTTACAAACATTATTTTAGTGGTTCCTAAATTGATATTCAAGTCTAAGTATATTTCAAAATATTTTTTCTTTTAGTTGACATGTTCACAATAATTGGAATATCCACGAATTCTCCAGCCCTACAAATTACTTTGGTTATGATTTCACCAACTGACTCGAATAGCTACACAAGACGCCATAATCACCATAACAGGTTATCATGATGACGTCATCGAAGAAAAATATCAAACAAAGATATGATAAAACATTAACTTACCAGTATAATCCTTATTCAATTTCTTCATGTACGTTCTTACACTGTAGCATACATAGTAATGATGCGGGTGTGAAATTGTATGTTGAATGACTCAAGTCACGTTCAACTAAGACACTGATGTTGGCACAAATAGTCTGTATATTATATGTAGTTCTTCTCAACGAGTCGATCAGGGTTATTTATTTTGATGAGCCAGATATTGCGATGGTTGTCATGACACAGTTCGGGCCCACAGTTCTATGTTTATGGAAATAGACCCAATGTGAAAACTTCAAAATTACCACCGTTTCTTAAAGGGAGATAACTACACCCGACCCGAAAACATATCGCTCACATCAACGTAAATACAAAACTACCCTATCGGTTTTAAAGCACGGAGAAAATCAACCATAAATTAATATGTTTCAAAAGTTATTCCTCCTAATGTTTCACAGAAACGCCTTAATGTTGATCCATAAGAATAATGGAATATATATATGGTTTAAGGGGCTGAATTGTAGTAAAGATGGCGGCAAAATCAAGTTTAGAAAATGTCGTTATGTTGTCTGGTCCACCGTGCTCCGTAAGTCAAGTCAGATTGTAGTAAAACAAACTATTATTCATGCAACAACTAAAATTAGGAGGATCCATAGGACACAATCGATAAAAGATGTTAAAAGAAAGGTCGCTGTTAGAAGTTGCATTGATCAGTTTGGAACAGCAAAATGTCAAATTTATACATCAGCTGTTCTCGAGTGTGCCAGTGTGTCACCTGTAACTGTAGGGGAGGGGTGCTACCTTTACAATACAGTACCACATCCACAAACTTGACAAACACGTCACAATACCCTATGACATAATTTGTGAATTTTTGTTTGCAGGTGCCCAGTGAATAAGCTCCTCTAGTCTATGTGATCTTTCCTCACTACATGCATCGTCATTAAATAAGACCAGCAATGTTGACTGTTTTTAATATTTGTTTACTCAATAAATTGTGTGGCAGAGCAATTAAAGAAAGCATTAGTTTATGAAGCACTTTTATTTGCAATAACTGTTTTAGGCCCACCTTTAGAATACAGCACCACAAACTTTAAAAATACGTCATAATACCCCTTTACGTAATGTAATGTTATTTTGTTCGAAAGCATGTTCTCAAAACAATGCCCTATGATGCCTGCATGGCAACACGGTTGTCTGGCTCAGCGAGTGCGTATAAGCTCCGCTCACTGGTGTTTCATCTCTACGAGCTATGTCATTGCATAAGCCCAACGATGTTGAGAGTTTCCAATAGTTGTATACCGGCTGATGCGCAATATTTGGCAAGCACCAGTTTGAAATATTTTTCTTTTTTCACTAATACGCTCATATTTATTTGTATTACGGGCTGCTGAGGTGTTATGTTTTGTGTATTTTGTATTTTGTAATTTTTTAATGTACATATATATTTTTGTCATTCAGTAATTTGCACCATTACATAGAAAAGTGTTTTATTAGTATTATATTTTTCGAAGCGGTAATAATGCATTACACTAGACACGTCAGTTGTGTTTGTGCCGGTTCGGTCTATGCATTCTATTTATTAGGATTAATTCAAGGGATTGGGGTTAGGGTTAGGGTTGGGGTTGGGGACCTAATGCAATATAGTAGGTACATGTCCGGTGGTTCGGTCAATGCATTCTATTTATTAGGATAATTTCAAGGGGTTAGGGCTGGGGGTTTAGGGTTAGGGTTATGGACCTAATCCAATATAGCAGGTACATGAGAAATACGCGTGAGTACCATTTGTTGTTTTTCCTTTTGCATTTTAACACTTTTTTCACACAAAACGGAATCCAAAACGTTACATTATGAAATGGGTTAATGTAGAAATTTTGGGCTAATGGAAATTGGCCTGGAATTTGCACTCAAGCCTCTTTCACACGCAACATAAATTTTGTAAAGTAATAATTCGAAGGCTAACTCACCCTCGTACGGCTCATGTCTCCCTTTGCGTTCCTTAGTATCCACATTATCCTTACAGTGTTCCCCTACATCACTTTTCTGTCACAAAATCAACGATTTATATAAAAGCTGGCGTCATTCATGCATGCACCGCGGAAATCTACGCCTGACGCCAACAACCCTTTTCAGTTTGAGGCATTTCGCTCATTCCACGCCACCATCGCTAATTTGTAGATTACGGAATGGGGCGAGTGTGCCAATACAGTTAATTCAGAATATAATACTGGAGCTGAAAATAACCAAACATTGCCCATCCAAACAGAGTGTCGCGAGGGGAGCTGGAAATAACCAAACATTGCCCATCCAAACAGAGTGTCGCGAGGGACATCTGTTGCAACAAATCAGTTAAGATAACTGTGTGAACTGAAACAAATTCAAACCAAATTTTAATTAATTAAATTAGTCAACTTTAATCAAACTGTAAGAAAATAACAGAAATAACCACTTTGTATCTATGAAATATTTGGATATCTTTACATGTCATAATATATTGTTAGGTTCATCTACTGTGTGTGATATTATATGCAGTAAGTCCTTATTATTGTTTCTATATTTGCTTGAAGAACAGAGTGAGTGAGTTTAGTTTTACACTGCTTTTAGCAACTTTCCAGCAATATCACATTGGGGGACACCAGAAATGGGCTTCACACATTGTACCCATTTGGGGAACTGAACCCAGGTCACGAGCGAACGCAATAACCCACTACCCCACCGTCTCTAAACAACAGAGAGGGAGGAGACTATATATAATTTCTTTTCTAGGGGAAGTCTCAATACTATAAGAAGATGTACAAGAATCAGAAAGACTTTTGCAGGGTATGCCCAGCTGAATTGTACAAAGAAAATCCAGAATTTGGATTGAGGGATATCTGTCTGCACATATATGGTCTATTGAAAAAGGTATTCTCACAGATAGCAACAAAGGTGCTTTAAATTATTGATTATAGGTGTCAATTCCCTTACATATTCTTAAAGACCGCAGTGCAAACCTGAAAAATCCCATGGGTTTCCAGTTAGTCTCCCACTGGCTACTCCTCAACAGTGTAGATGTTATCTGCCCATGAGTGACAGGACTCTAATGGCTATGGGTGCCTGGCTAGAGCCTGGCGATGTCAAAGGTTAACCTTGGAATTTACTACTAGAATAAACATTTGCCTTAAAATAAATGTCCAACAACCTTTCACTACATATTTTGATGACTAAATTGATTAATTTGATTAGCATATGTGAAAATTCAAATTTCACTTATGTTCTGAAAATATAATCTTCAACATGGTGATGTCAGCATTAAATGAGTGTAGAGCCCTAACCCTGCACAGCATGGGGGCAGGGGAGAGGGTCATTCTCACAGCCTGCCTGAATTATGAAACCCTGAATGAAACTTTTAACCCCAATACTTTGTGATGTTTCATGGAATGTACTTGAATACTGCATTGCTTTGCATCGAAAGACAGCTTTGAAAGGCAAGAAGGCCACACACCCATCTGTGTATAGGTTTGAACCCCAGCCTCAGTTTATGGTTGGTATCTCTGTAATTATTTGTAGTCTCCAAGAAGTGTTCATGGTACTGTCAATGTAAATATTCATGCTGTTTGTGGTGTAATGACACATGTTTGCATGATCTTGTTTCCAATTTTATTATGACCTCAATCATGAAACCTTCAGCCGATGATAAGCTTGATCATGAATTTCACAGATCAAGACAATGCTCCAGTTTGTTTCTCTATGTGTAGAACCTATTGTATTTCAACAGGGTAAGAGGGTTGTCATAGATGATGTAAGTGATCAGCACACCACCAGAAAGGCGTATTTCACAGCCATCAAGAAAAAGGTAAGTACTCATACAGTAACAGATGTTTTGATACTGGTATTTGACCAGTGTGCCTGTAAACGATGTATCAGTTAGGAAATGTCAGCTTCTTTTTCCTTTATTTGATTAAAAGAATTTTCTGATCCTTAAACATATAATAAGTCCAAATAACAGTTTTCTGGATAATTGTCAAAAGTTGACCCTTCTCTTTCTAATGCAGTAAACTATGATTTTGACAAACATTAAGGGACCACAAATATTGGTTTGATTTAGCCATATTGCCTTTGTTATGAACATAGTTTATATACTGTATTCCTGTTTTTAAATGAACTCCCTGGTCCATATACATCAACATGGTGTAAATCCAAGCATCACCAGGGCCGTATCTATGGTGTAAGACCCTCCAGTGGCAGTTGTTCTCTGTGAACTGTTGATTGGAAAAGAACAAGACTCTATCAATTGCAGATATGATAACATCACATAACATTGATATCCCAGCGGGGCGGTGGGGTAGCCTAATGGTTAAAGCGTTGGCTCGTCACACGGAATACCTGGGTTCGAATCCCCACATGGGTACAATGTGAGAAGCCACTTCTGGTGTCTTCCGCCGTGATATTGCTTTGGAGCAATTCTGAAAATATATATCTAGTTGACAAAACTTTCACTTTCCCAAAAATATTTCACCTAGTATTTGGCCAATTGCTTATAGCTAGATATGATAACATCACATGACATTGATATCCCAGCAGTAACAGAAACAAGGTTGGGTAACATAATTGATGATCACGTCACAGTGGTATAAGCAATACTGCAGGTAGCCAGGATAGGCAAACGTGGAGCAGGTGTTTGAGGCCTGATTGTGAACAAAGTCACTCCTTGTTATGTGTGTTTAATCCAGACAGATGGAAAACAGTTCAGACTGTGTGTAATGCATCGTCCTCCACCATCCAAGCTGAATGGCTTCAAGAATGATGTATTCTTCAGAGGCGTCTAGTCGTATCTGGATCATTTAACCACTGTCCCACAGGAGATTGTTATTGGCGGGGATCAGAAATTCCATCTTGAGGATCCGCTGAACAAAGATGCCCAAACTGTTCTGGGGATACTGGATGCTCATGGTTTCGTGCAACATGTTAAAGGACCTTGGCTGGTTCTGATCACGAGAGAAAATAACTCAATCTTAGATGGATCACCTCTCACTGTTGATCCTTGTCTCAGTGATGATAGAGATAAATAGACATTTTTCTTTCTCATCCAGTTTGAATCCTCAAGTTTAGTGAAGACAGGTTTTAGTTTTTATTATATATCCATCTGACTCCCAAATGAGGGGAAAAAATGCCAACAGCCTGTCATCTAAGAGAAGCTGTAAATTTCGATTTAATGTGCAAAGATATCATCCTTTCATTGCCATCCAGTTCCCTGCCTGCAAGGTGAAGGTGGTCCAAATCCGCCCAAAGTACGGGGAGTTTCAGTGTCAGTGGGCTGCCCAGTTTGCCGTGGCCTCCACTCCAGACAGTAGGGAAACTCTGGACAACAAACAGGCTGAGATACACAAGTGGTTTGAGTCTGATCCAGCTGCATCAGATTCACAAGGTATAGATACTATAATTGACACAATGTTTCAGAGTTAGAACATTTTTGTCCCCCACCACAATGCGGAACGGGGGACTATGTATTCAGCGGTGTCCGTCCGTACGTCCAATTCTTGTTTACGCGATATCTCATGAACTGTTATACCCAATGGCTTCAAATTTGGTGACAGCCTACATTAGGGGATTACGCACACACCAGATGATTTGGGTGACCTTGACCTTATCTTCAAGGTCACCACGACACTTTGACAACTTTTCAACGTCTTGTTAACGTGAAATCTCATAAAACATTGCACCCATTGTCTTCAATTATGTCGACAGCCTACATTAGGTGATTATGCAGACACCAGTCATTTCAGGCATCTTAAAGTAGTAAAAAGTAGTAAATATGTCGCGTGCCCCTCTGACAAGTGTAAACTGGCACAGCTCCCAGCTGTTAGACTTCCATTTTAGCGAAAGCCACAGTGGCTGAGAGGGATGCATCACTGACTTGGGTACACAAAGTATTTGACAGGGATTGTGGTTGGATTAAGACTGATGAAGTAAGGGACCGTTCATAATTTATGGCTAGGGGATGTGATGATGATTTTTATGCAGAAGCATGTACAATATGAATGGACCACACACACACCCCTCCCCCCTAAAATTTACGTACAAAGTAAATTGCACAATATAACGTTTACAAAGTAAAGCGATGTATTGTGATCGCTGATCGAAAACCCGGTATTATGACAAGCATTGTAACACTAAAATCTTGGATATTTCCGTTTTAAGTTGTTCCTTTCCTTTTTTATTTGTGTCAAATATTATTTACATTTGTTTTTGTCATGATTAAAAGTTTTATTAAATCTTAATCAAGCATAGTGATTTTGTTGTGTTTTGCTTTATAAAATCAAGCATTTTTAAATCAAGCATTATATTTCCGTTTTAAGTTGTTCCTTTCCTTTTTATTTGTGTCAAATATTATTTACATTTGATTTTTGTATTAAATCATAGTTTTTGTTGAAAAATTTATATAGTTTTTATTTGATCTTGCAATATATTGCAATACATATCACAATATACGCTTTTGAATCGCAATATATCGCAATATGAAAATTCTCTGCAATACCCACCCCTAAAAGTAAGGGCGAAACATTATTATCGCTGGATGAAGGGAAGTAACTCTGAGCATGTTTCCCGCATTAGGAGTTAAACGCTTTAGTTTCGTATTTGCTGTTTTGGCTCCACTTGTGCCAACACGGTAAGTTTGAAATTACCGAACGAAGTAATGAGATATTGTAAAATTTCATATATCGGGAAGTATTTTGTAGCATCATTATTTCCATCCATATATATTGTTGAACCAAGTGCATACAGTGGCAATAATGTAATTCCAAAATGTGGGCCCACTTCGGCGCCTGTTATAGGAGCCGAAAAAGAGTGGGCCCACATTTTAGAAACTTGCTTTTTTATCATGGTATTCTGTAATGCCCTTTTGTTTTTATAATATAACGGAAATAATGTCATTCCAAAATGTGGGCCCACTTCAGCACCTGTTATAGGAGCCGAAAATAATGGTATTCTGTAAATGTTTTTTTGGTTTTTATAATATAACACAAACTGCATGAAATTCAACTAAAACAACTTTAATTTCCCCTCAATGAACAAGAATGTATTTGCACTTGTTGAATTCCTTAGACACATCATCAGGTTGATTTTATTGAGTGTGTCCATATGCAGGCTTATCACTTAAATCATGCTGAGGGAAATGAAACTATAATGAATATAATGAAACAAGAACAACAGTTAATTGAATTTATTTTCTTAGCAATACCTGATTATACTTGTTTGATAATACATAGCTGCTTTATTTTCGAATGTGGGCCCACTTCCTTGTATCGGAAAACAAACTTAGAGTTACTTCCCTTCACGTTGCCTCCATCCACCGATAATAATGTAACGCCAAAGTAAGTGACCCCCTCCCTTGCTTAACATGTACAAAATCAACGACCCCCCTCCTCCTTCCCATAATTTTTAAGCATAATTTTATCATTTTTAATGTACAAAATTGCTGAACCCACCCCCAAGAACATGTGTCAAAAATTGATGATCCCCTACCTCCCCAGAACAAAATGGATGGGACCCCCTCTCCCACACTACGCACACACCCCTCTCCACACACGCACACCCCACCTCACCCTTTAAAATCATTATCGTCCCCTCTAGCCATAAATTGTGAACAGTCCCTAAGCATGGTAAGTGTGGTAATGGTAAGGAATCCATGAAATATGGTTGCACTGACACTGACGAGGAACCTGTTACAGGATAGATTAGTTTAATCCTATTTCTGTGTATTTTACAGAAACCACAGACAGTTTGACAGTGGTAAAGGAAAGCCTTCCTTTGACAGCAGTAACTAATTATAAGGTAAAGTACAAGACAACAAGCTTGGCATATTTGTTGTTGCTGTCTTTTGAAGTAAACGTGGTATTTACATGTCATGTTTCTTGTCGGGTTTGTGATTCTGTAGAGGTAGAAATATGTATAATGTATGTAACAGTTTCATGGTTCTTAACATGGATAAATAAGGGAGTACATTAGTTAACTTATTTGTTAACTTGTCAGTCTCACAGAAATTCTTTATACAGTTATGTCGGAAAGGTGTGACAGAACCCTATCATCATGGGTTCAAATCTTGGTTTGCCTTGTATATGCTTCCAGATTTGTGTACATTATACACATGCTTGTGGGCTCTCGGAAGTGGTAAATGTCCATTAGCTCTACAGCAAATCTATTGAGAGGCGAATACAATACATATCTCAAATATTAGGTAACAAATACAATAACAAGTCAACAGCTGATGTTTGTTTATTGTATTCAGTGAAACAATAGCAATATATTGTTGATTTCCATGCTGAAACTAATGCAATAGTTAACCGGGAATCAGTCCATAAAAGAACCAACCAACAAACAAATAACAATATGATATGATTGACAATTGTATTTTATAATTAGCTCAGTTTACAAATTAATGCATATCGCTACAAAGGTATTACAGTGGCAGTATAAAATAGGCAGTACAAGATCAAAACCAGTATAGTACAAAACCAGTGATTATAGCAATAAAGATGGTAATGGTAGCACTCATCTTACTGCAACAAATAAGCTGAGTATCCAACTTAAGAATCATCTCCACACAATCGGTCTTCTTGTAACCTTGGGTGTAATGGACCGCCTCCGTGGTGTAGTGGTTAGAGCGCCAGCCGGAGAAGCGGAAGGTCGCGGGTTCGATTCCCGACCGGGTCATACCAAAAGATGTTAAAATATGGTACTTGTTGGTCCCTGCCTGGCGCTCGGCATTAATGGGTACAACAAGGACTGGTCGGCTCGGAGTCAGTATAATGTGTCTGAGTGGGGTATTCATGCTTCACTGTGGCATGGTATCTCAGTGGGCTAGCACTATAAAACCAGCTTCAGTCTGGGCTAGTACAAGCAGCCGCACATACACATACACACGCATGCATGTCGTCATATGAGCGAAATATTCTCCAGCCACGTTAAACCCAATTTCACCTCACCTCACCTTGGGTGTAATGCGCGATCAGACAAGAGTTAGCTCCCCTTATATATAAAACCAATAGACTCCTGACATTTCCCCAAGTCCTTGAGTCTAGTCCCAAAGACAGCATATGTTACATTTGACCAATTTTATATTCATTAGCATGATGTCAGGCTTGTGTTAAAGGTTGAAACTTGCATTTCATTTTTTTTTTCAAGTTTTTCGTAGATATACTGAAGGAAAAAAATAAAGGATCGCATCTATCTTTGAGAATGATATCTAAATGACTTAACTTGATTGGAAGTATGCCCTGACACTGCCAGACAGTTGCGAGAGCATGTAGGGGACATACCCGATACTGACTTTCTCAATTTCAACTGAAAACAATGAATCAAGTCTGTTATGTCTGACGTGATTAAAATCTGAAATTTTATGCGATCCCATATTTTTTTTCTCAGTATATTTAAGCCAAGCAGTGAAAACAGAATGATTTACATAATACTACCAGTATATATGTATATTGCAGCTTGAGGTACCAGCTCTCTTCTTCCAATGGGAGGGCCTAAACACAGACAACAGAAACGCCCTTCTCACAGCACAGCTTTGTCAGGGATGGGCTACAGCTAACAAATGCGGGAGAGTGTTCATTGTTTGTGATGGAAAGAATGTCAGCAAAGGTAAGTAAGTGGGTGAATGTTTTTTATTCTGCAGGCAGCAATATTCCTACCATGACATGTCCCATTATCCCTATAAAACTAATGCTTGGCGTAAGAGGTGACATAATGGACATGGATGCCAGGTCTGGTGACTTAATTGCATAAACGTTATTGGAGACACACACCTCAGCACATTTTATGTGAGGAAAAGAGGCAAATTATTTTGCAATGTATACTCTTTACATGTTATAACATCATTTTCTATTTCAGAAAGATTTATATTCCGTTTTTAATGAGGAAATGATTTTACTTACTGCACTTAGCTGCCGATTTTTTAAATAGTCTTCTACTAGTAATGTCATGATTTACCGATACAATGATGCATCACCGACTACAAGAGCAATATGATAAATGATTCAATTGTTTTAGTATTGAGTGAGTGAGTGAGTTTAATTTTACGCCGCACTCAGCAATATTCCAGCTATATGGCAGCGGTATGTAAATAATCGAGTCTGGACCAGACAATCCAGTGATCAACAGCATGAGCATCGATCTGGGCAATTGGGAACCGCTGTGTAAACCAAGCAGTGAGCGGGACCACCCGATCCCGTTAGTCGCCTCTTATGACATGCATGGGTTACTGAAGGCTCATTCTAACCCTGACTTTCATGGTATTGATTCATTTTTGACATATATCAACTTTTGTTATTTTGATGTTGCAATGGTATCTCCTATGAAACCATATTCTAAAGCCTGTTTGTAATCTATCTTAGAAAAATGAAGTGTGACTTATGATATTCGAAGTAGTGGTATTTACATAAAAATAGAAAATTGTGGAAAGCTGGTGCGACTTATTGTTTTGATAATTGTAGCTTGTCTACACTTACAGTTATTACAAGTCGTTTGTACAATGTTACTTTCTAGAGAGAATGAGCAAGTTTAAGTGACACTTTTACTTTATTGGTTAATCGTTATGAGTTAGAAAAGAGTTCATTCACACAGTATTCAGCAATGTGCATAGTACTGTGAATTATTTGACATGAGGACTGTTTAAGTTGTGACAGTTCAGTGAATATTTACTGCACTAGAAACTGTAAAAGGTTATTTGTCAAATACAAACAGGACAGATTATTAAACCAGTTAACTTAACATACATGTCACATATTTTCTTATACAGAACACCAGATATGATTTGACTTGGTGAGTGTGTAGATGGGTACTTGGTTGACGGTCACTTATCCTTCCTCTAGTAATATCTATCTACAAACAAAATGACAGGTATTTGGTGACTGGTGAGCTATGGTATCTCCTTGCAATCCAGGTAATGGCTGCTTTTTATACACAAAATGTCAGTAATGGAGTATGTTGATGTGTATCGTATCGCGACCTCAGTATTGATGTATGTTTCGTATTATGAAGCACCTGTATCGTGACGTCACTATTTAATATTTTGTGTTCATGTTGTGAGTATGTTTCAGGTCTAATTAATCAACAAGAAGAAAACTTTTCTGTGAGAACTTTCACAAAAGCTGTTGCTCAACAGGTAAGAGATCTCAGACTGAATATTCTAAGAATAGATGTGATAAAAATTCATATTGAAAGTAAAGTTAGTAACTGGTAATCGCACTATTTTTTTTATTGATGAACAGATATATACAGAGGTAGAATGTTCACATTGATTTTTCCTGAAACTTCAGCTTAATGTGTGGCATGTTGTGCATCTCCAGCCCGTCATAAATGTTTACCCTTCCTCTGAAACAACTTGACCTACCAACATTTTGCATTGATGCTTCAAGCTGTGGTGTCTCTGGGAGGTTTTGCTTACCAAACTCTGATCAGTTTTGAATATGGCCACCAAGGCAGCCTTATTGAATATACCCATAAGTGTCACTGTGAAATTTGTCTTTCAGTATGTGGTAAACCCACCATCGTATGCTTCATTTGGCTGTGTACTATTGATTTTCAAATGTCTATTTATTCATCACAATATTCTGTCTCAGTGTTTCAATGTGACAGTTGATAATATGTAGGGGTATATCTATTGCGTAGAAAGTTGTGGAATTTATGTTTCATATTTTTTTTTGTGTTTGTAAGGCCTTTATGATCTAATATAATAATCCTAATAACTTAAATTTTTCCTTATCCTGACTCATGCTCTTTTGCTTGTCTTCTTCTTCTTGCGAACATAGTGGAACACTTGTATCTCCTTAATTGAAGCTCCCTTCAATGTAAAATCACTAATTAGTACTCACCAAGAGTTGCCTCCCTTTGCCCCTGCGCGGGAAAGGCGGCGCCACCTTCTGGCCTCATGCTTCACTCTCTCCTTCTTCGCCCAGTGAGCAGGATGTGAGAGCGCCTGTGTCTCCTTACACACTATATCCTTTGGTTATTCTTAGTTAGTTACCTCCTATAGGTTACTATAGAGGTATAGCTAGTATCCTTCATTAATATGTATTGATAATTACTCGTATTTCTACTGTTTATTCACGGGAGTTCGTGATTGTTCAGCTAGTTTTACGTTGATGAAAATCTGTACTATTTGTAGATTACGTTTTTCTGCTGCTGACCCGCATGTAATATGCCCTAGTTGTTCTACGCCTTGTGCATTTGATTCACGTTGCAGTTACTGCATTAATCTATCTAATTCTGCTTTTAATAAATATCATCTTTGCGTCTTGAGACGTGCAGCAGATAGGTCACGCAAACAAGGGTTAGACATGGCCGATACATCGGAACCCCTAGCCAGTCAGCTGCTGTTGGTCGACCCCCTCCCGTCTGGTGTTCCGCTAGAGTTTCCCTCGGAGGAGGGCCGTGGGATGCAGTCCGCCGCCTCCAAGAAGCGTCCTGCTTCCCCAGACATCCCATCATCGCAGCCAAAGTCTAAGAGGGCCTCGACGCCTACTCAACGCAGACTCCGTACCCCCAGGGCAGCTTCCTACCTCCAAGGGAAAGTCTACGGTCGCCAAGAACCTTCTCAGCCGAGATCGTTCCAGCCGCCGAACTGGGCCTCTACGATGATCAGCCGATCATCATCCCCGACCTACGCCACAAGAAACGACCGGTGACAGCTACAGTGACGTCAGCAGAGATCGCCATGCAGCCTGATGTGTCTACACCGATGTCGGACGATCTCCCTGAGGGCCCCGCCGCTAACATCGCAGAGAGGGCACCGACTACATCGTCGCAGACCGTCCCAGATGAACTGATGCGGCAAATCATGATCATGATGGAGGACCACTACAGACTGGAGAAACAACCAGCCCAGGGCCTGAGCTTCGCTGGCTCCAACGCAGACGACACCCCAGAGGGACCCCCGCCAACGTAGTGCCACGACGAAGCCACCTTCGCGGCGGAAGTCACAGACCACCTCGACGGCGGACCCAGATGTACAGCCTTCGCCAAGGCCTTCGGGCGAAGGGATAGATCATCACCTACCTCGGCTTCATCCTTAGATGCGGACTCAGACCACCAGACTTCACGAAAAGCCTTCGCTGAAGGTCAAGTCGCCGCTCCCCAGGACCGACGCAGAGGAAGCTTCAAGGCTTCGCGAAGGGCACCTTTATCAGGCTCCAAATCATCTTCGCCCAGAAGGACATCGAGGGATTCCACAAGAGCTTCGCTGGCTATCAACATTCACCTCACAGATCTCCGCTGAAGGTCAACCCATAGACGCAGATCGCCAGGACGCTCACCAAGACGCATCCCTCGCCATTCTCCATGCCGATCACCTCGCCGTTCACCGCGCCGATCTCCTCGTACATCACCACGTCGATCTCCTCGCAGGTCACCACACAAGTCTTCACAGAAGTCCACAGTCAGGTCTCCCCTAACGTCACCCGGTACAGTGGTAGAAGCACACAGTCCACCATCTGAAGAGCATCAACCTCTCATCAGCGATCCTGGGGTAGAAGATGATGGAGGCATCATTTTCTCAGACGCTGAGATACGATATTGGATGGTAAACAACCTAGACCTTTCTTCACCTTCCAAGAGTGGTAACTCGGCGCATACTTACCTGATGAAGGAGGACGATGCAGACGCCGTCACCTTACCTCCGATCGACCCGATTGCTGCGGTGCCACAGAATCTGGACACAGCCTTCCATAAAGCCACGAAAGTTCAGACGCCACACCTACCGAACTTTCACGCTAAGAAGTTTTCAACTCATAACATGGACCCCTTCCTCAAGGCACAAGACATCGATGACAATTACAAGATGATCAGCGATGTCAAGAATAAGAACTACAAGATTGACGATCGCAAGCTGGTGCAGATAGAAACCATGACGAGACGCATGTTCTTTGGCCTTAATAGATCTAGAACGATCAATGAGACTCTTATCACCAGATTTCGTGACACGACTTCTGAAGATGATAGGATGATCTACTCGGCCCTACTGATGCAAAAGAAGGACCAGCAGTTCCTAACGGATCATCTCACATCAGTCTCAGCAGCGCTAACCTTAGCTCGTCGTCAAGGCCTCCTCGCTTCCTGCAGCTGGGGTGAGCAGTTTACAGCTCCACTCTATACAGCCCCGTGGTCCTCCCCATCCATCTTTGACGGAGGAATAGAGAAAGCCTCCAAGGAAGTCACTAAGGATTCTAGAGAAGTCCTTATGATTAAGTCGATGGACACGCTAGCCAGCGTCATCAGGCAGACTTCACAAAGATATTCAGGGAAATCTAAATTCACTGGATTACAGAGAGCACGGGATGGGAAGATGGCCAGCTCCAGGGGAAAAGATTCTTTTCGTCGCCCATATGGCAACTACAGAGGAGGATCAGGAAGAGGCAGGGCACCCAGAGGTTCCCGCAACTATAAACGTTGAAAGACAGGTTCGGAACGACTGGAGTCTTCCACCCCCAGCCGTTCCAGTACAACCGTCACAAGTGGGTGGACGCCTTCAACTACACTGGGAGAACTGGGGAATGTTACAAGACCCTTATGTCTCCAACATTCTTCAACACGGATATCGTATCCCACTACAGGCCACGCCTCCACTGACAGTCAACCCTCACAAGTTCGACTTCCAGGCACAACAACTACCAAAGTTAAGAGAGGCTGTTACATCGCTTTTAACCAAGCAGACCATAGAAGTACTAGATCAAGTAAACGTCGAACCAGGCTTCTACTCCCCAGTTTTCCTAGTACCCAAGAAAAACTCCAAGGAGAAATACAGACTCATTTACAACATGAGCATATTCAACAGAGATTATCTACGCAAACCGCCAACGTTTCGCATGATACATCTCCCTCAGTAACGGCAGTTGATTCGTCCCATGGATTACATGGCCAGTATAGATCTGCAAGACGCATATCTACACATCCCGATACATCCCGAATCCAGGAAATACCTACGATTTACACTAGACGGGCTGCATTACCAATGGAAAGTACTCCTATTCGGAATTTCATCAGCCCCCTGGCTATTCACGAGGATAACGAAACCTATCGTCACCTATCTACATCGCCTAGGGCTACGCAGTCGCTCTACCTCGACGACGGGATACAAGTAGATCAAGATCCACAGCGTCTCAAACTACAGTTAAACTACATCATAAGGCTACTAACACAGCTAGGATGGTTAGTAAACTTACTCAAGTCGGACCTAGTACCATCGCAAGATCTGCAATTTCTAGGCATTCGATTTATCATGACTCTCAACCGTATCGTCGTACCAGAAGACCGATGGCTCAAGATCCAACAGACCATTCCTCTAGCCCTACTCTCTCCGTTACCACTACGACATTGGCAGAGCCTGTTGGGTCTCCTCACGTCAGCCCAAGACATGACAGTCAGAGGCAGAATACAGTTACGTCCGTTACAGGTCTTCATCAATGCACATTTCGACGACCTACAACCATTCAGTCTACCGAAACATCTCAGACCTCATCTGCTATGGTGGACCAGGAGGTCAAATGTCTGCGAAGGTATTTGTTTAGCAGAGCCGGAATTCAAAACCCATCTATATGTAGACGCGTTGCTCCAGGGTTGGGGAGCTCATCTCGCCAACCGGACGGCTTCAGGGTTATGGAATCAGCAAGAAAGCAAGCTCCATATAAACATGTTAGAGATGAAAGCGGTAATCAACGCCATACTTCATTGGAGCACCATTCTACAAAATGCGCATCTGATGATTCATACCGACAACTCGACAGTGGCGTTTTATGTGAACAAACAAGGCTCAACGAGATCACTGAACCTATTGACTTTAAGCTTTCAACTGTTCGATCTAATCGACGATCTCAACTTACATGTCAGAGCATGTCACATTCCCGGAGCCAAGAATGTACTAGCAGACGCACTCTCTCTCGGCCACATCTACCGTCACCGACAGAATGGATGCTCCATACAGAAATTTTTGCACAGATTATCAAGCAAATAGGAGCTCCGCTAGTAGATCTATTCGCCACTCGCTTCAACAATCAGCTACCGACATTCGTATCACCAGTCCCGGACCCACAAGCATGGGCAACGGACGCTCTAAGCATATCCTGGGAAGGCCTCAATGCGTACGCGTTTCCGCCACCAGCGATAATCCCTCAAGTGTTACAGAAAATCAGACAAACACAGAGCCTCCAACTCACTTTGGTCGCGCCCTACTGGCCAGCCAGAACGTGGTTTCCCATTCTAATTCAAGAAATCGGACAACCAACACTAGAGCTACCAAAGCGCTCGAATCTATTAGTACATCCACACACCAAACAGGTGCACGGAAGCCCAGAAGTATTCCAACTTCACGTATGGACTGTATTAAAATGTGTTTAAACAAGAGAGGGTATTCAACCAGAGCGGCAAAAGCAGTCACGCTTGCCTTACACTATTCTACCGCGTGGCATGCGGCGACAAGTGGCACAGTTTTCAAAATTACGCAGCAAATAAGGGATTTACAGCGAGAGATGCTACACATCCACAAATTGCAGATTATTTGTGTTACCTACGCCAAAACAAACATTTAAAAGGCTCGACATTGTCAACATATCTTGCCGCGCTTAGTTCTGTGATAACTATGAGAACGGGTGTCAAGCTAACCAAGACGCCAGAGTTACTGGCCTTACTACGTGCTTTCCGATTGGAGGATCAGAAGCGGAAGTTCCACGCTTCCCAGCTTGGGATCTGAATATAGTGCTCCAACACCTCACAAGTGAGGCTTATGAACCGTTGGAATCGACAACCTTTGAATTTCTCTCACAGAAAACGCTTCCTGTTATCTCTAGCCACGGCAGCCAGGATGTCAGAAATTCACGCACTAGATTATGAGAGGATACAGTTTGATGACAATCAAAACACAGCGCACCTGGGATTAAGATGGGATTTCATCGCCAATAATCAATTGCCAAGTCAACCAGACAGATTATTCCATATTCCTGGACTCTCCTCGATTCTCGGATCTCAAGATACACTGGACTTATCTCTATGCCCAGTCAGAGCTCTCAAAATCTATTCTGACGTTCCAAAACAAGGCGACGATTTCTCAAACGATTATTCATCCCCTTATCGGCAACAACTCAGACAGAAGTCTCTCGTACCACCATATCTATATGGATAAGAACTGTCATACTTCGCGCCTACAAGGCGGCAGGGCTCGACCCTCCAACAGCATCAAATCCCCATGAGATCAGGGCATTGGCTTCCACACTCGCTCTACATGGCAACTGTTCATTAAATACAATCATGGAAGGATGCTTTTGGAAATCTAACATGGTGTTTGCTAATCACTATCTGAGAGATATCACCACCGAGGACGTCTCAGGTATTCACCATTTCAGTCCCTTGGTCCTCGCACAGCAGTTGACAGTCCCTCGTAGACGTTAACACATAGTCTTACGAGATTATTATGTATATATTCATACCAGTATTATCTAGCTTATAACTCTACGGAGTTTTAGGGCTATTTATATACTTAGCTTAAGTCTACTCAGCTTTAAGCTTATACTGATGATTATGTTCAGTTGTATAGCTTCTCCGTGTCGGAGTCGCTTTTATATCTTTATTGCTATTATCATAGTATATTATTATTGTAATACCCCATCTATGGCAATGTATAAACTTATGGTTTATAGTAGAGGAATTATCCTAAGTCAGTGCCATTATGAAGTTCCCGTTAGGGGGTTATTACAGTTATATATATATAAATCACTAATTAATTTTATAAATCCAAAGTATTCTGTTCTTTCCCACCTCTGTTTCCGTGAGGATTCTACAAGAAAAGAGCATGAGTCAGGATAAGGAAAAATATGTAATTTTTTAGAGTAAAATTGATATTTTATACTTATCGTTGGGCTACAGGGCCAAGTTATTATAGGCTGTGATGCTAAATCTTTGTGACTCTGGATATAAGGCTAACTTCATCATTTCTTATATCAGGTGAACATCCCAGTGTATGTAGTGCAGCTGACGGACCTGGCACAGGCAGGGAGTTTCTGTGTCCCCCAGGAACCAGGAATACTGGCCTATTTACAGAAGAGACACTGTCTCCACTTACACTGTAGGGTAGGTTGTGTCCCTTGATCAACAAAGTTATGGAGTATTTTAACCCAGATTTACAATAACTTCAATGTTGACCATAAAAGACTAAATTTAATCTAATATTTATACATAATAAGTTTCATCGAGAATAACAATTGCAATACACAATAAAAAATCACATCAAATCTCCAGCATTATATTTCTCTCAGTATTTCACTCAGTACTCACAGTGCAGAGACACAACAGATTTGTCCTGGGCCCCGTTCCTCAAAGCGACAGTCTGACACTCGTGCAGTCTATGTTAAAGTATGGGAGTTCACGATCAGATTTGAGGAACGGGTCCCTGATTGTTATTCTTGCTTCCTCAGATCATTCCTCTGCTTGTGTTTTTTTCCAACGCAGTAAATGTCTAAGACAAGCATTTTGGCTTTCCTTTCTCACTAGAAGATGACATAATATCTCTGAAATGCTGTTGACAGCACTCCATCACCAACTCACTCCATCATCTTCCACTGCAGGCCACCCAGTATATATATGCCACTGCCTCACACAAAGCCATGGCCGAGAGGGCAGGAGTTCGACACATCAAGGCAAGATTTCCTGATCCTCAATCCAATCTTATGTGCTACCTGCTTCTTATAGGTTGTGCCAGAAACCTGAAATCATGGGTTCTAATGCCGAATTCATCCTGTTTCTAGGTTTGTCTGTTGTGAACATGGGTTTCACTAAAGTGGTAAACATTCAAGTCCTTCATCATTTCAGGTTTTCTTCCAAATCTAAGCTTGCAGAAAGCCAAAATACTATTTGTTCCATATAGTGTAAAGCCAAACACATTAACTGCTCCAACCATGATATGTACCATTCAATTTTCATCAGTTTTTTAACATTATGGTATCAGCTTATCTTGGCCAACACAGTGCTTACCCCTTGTGACATCTTTCGATGTTTTCCTGTAGAAAGTTAGATTTTGTAACATAAACAGGGTTTTAGGCTTATTTTGGTCATCATGACTGACAGCCCACCCAGGCTTCACCTTACCCACTTCGTTGTTTGTCATCTACTTACTCATTGTCAGACACACAAATGGAATGACTTAGCACATGCTTTCAACAGGAAACCTTTGAAACATGTCTGATAGAAGCACAAACGTAATGCACAATACATACCAAGTATTAAACCCTATTTTTATTTTAAATGCTCATTTTATATTATTATGTTATGGCAAGGCTTGCAAACTCCAGATGTATACTCTTTTGAAACTGATTTTGTCATCACGTCTGCTTGTTTTCCAGATATCTCAAGTTCTCCACCATCCTAAGCTGGTAGGTAGTCTTGCATTCAGCCTTGCTTTAATGAAGGATAACAGGCTTGTATCTGGCACAATGTCCTATTCAGTATGGTTTCCTTAAGAAAGACTCCAGTATTTACTCAGTTTGATTGTTGCCAGGTAGGCAGTATCATTGCTTGTCATCAGGACAACCATCATTGAATTTGCCTTGAATTTGGGGGCCTACTATGCTTCCTTAAAAACTATGAAAATGAAAATGTGTTAAAGGGGCCTTGAATTTTCAAACCAGTCCCCATTCCATGTAGTCTATCTAAAACTAGTCATATTTTGGAATACATATGTTATTTAGTGAGGGAAACTATACTGTTCATGAGCTGGCTGAATGGGTCAGGTGGATCAGTTGGATAGGGGTGGGCGATAATACCGGTTAACCGGTATATTGCAATTCGAACATCCCAATACGTTATATATTGGGGTACACCTTTCGCGAACCGGTTCTCCCAATACGATCGGTAATTTTCGTCATGTAGTCAAAACTACTAATACCATTATATTTTCTTGATATTATTATACATTAATAGTTTTGAGAATGTTTATTGGTCATATAATTGCATTTGCGTGACTTTTAAACCATTTAAATAAAAAAGTAGATTGGTACCGGCATCGTTGTAAGGATAAACAAACCAAAATGGTGGATGCCGCTGCAGAGTAACTGACGCCTTTTTTCGAGTTCCAAACGTTAGAGGAAGTCTTTAATTTGGAAACATTTTCAATTGATATCTTGTACAATCACATCTGAGTCCTTACAGTGGCCAGTGGCATCGTTTCAAAAGAAAGGAAACAGTAATTTCATTACCTTAACCCATGTCTTACACTTTCACAATATATTGCAATACATATTGCAATACGCCAACACATATAGCAATATATCGCAATACGAACATTTTGGCAATACCCAACCCTACAGTTGGAAGGGTTGGTTGATTACCAGCATGTGTCACTGTATGTGACAGGGTGGATCGTGGCCTACAATTCAATCACTGGACTGTCTCCATTAAATCTCCATTATTTACAGGTGGTTGTTATATTCATGACTAAAATATTAGTGATTCAAGCAGGAAACAACAAACAATCAAAGTAATTTGTGTGTGAATCCTAGTGAGTGAGTGAGTGAGCAATAGTTTCTATATGGCGGCGGTCTGTAAATAATCGTTAGCACTCAATCCAGTGATCAAAAGCATGAGCATCCTAGAACTGGCTGACATGTGTCAACTGTAATACCCGACCACCCGATTTTAGTCGCCTCTTAGTGTGAATCCTAGACTGGCTGCAACTGTAATACTTGGTTTGCAAGAATTATGACTTAGATTCACTGAAGTGACGGTCTGTGACTTGAGGAAAACATTTGTTGAATGGATATTTCTAGTTTGATAGATAAGATGAAAGCTGTTTTGTTGATGAGCCATTTCCAGAAGTTCAGTCACAGACCCAGGAATTAGGAATTTTTAAAACCGGCCAACCAAAATATTGAAGCATTCCATTGAAGTCATTTATACTTAAGGACTTTGTGCAAACTCTGTTTTTGGTTCAATCTTCATATTACAGCTTGTGTCAGCTCATAGCAGCTCAACCCCAAGGATACCTGAGCTGCTGCAGCACCTGGTGGTGGAGGCCGGGGATGAGGAGGAGGAGCCGGCAGAGATCCCCCTCTACAGTCACCTGGATGACATGGAGAACGGCTGCGTCAAGATGGAGCTGCCTGGCGGCAGGAGGGAAATGCTGTTTGCAAAGAACATTCAAGTTGTCCAAAAGTAATTTTGATTTTAACTGTCTCATCTAAAAGCTGGAGGGGCACAGCTGGTTACACTTGGCTAAAGTGCAACAATATGGCGATGTTGTGTCCACCGGGCAGGCTAGAAACCTATGACCTTGTGTTCGATTCCCAGGCAGCCCTGATGAGGTTTCTAGGATTGTGAGCACAATCATGGGTTTCCTTCGAAATTTAGTAGTCATACCTTGATATGGCTAGAAAACTGTTCAAAATGAGTTGCCCTCACCTATCTGAAAAATTGGTTAATTATTGCAAACAGTTTGTAATGTTGTTAATTGTAAAAGGTGAGGTGAAATTGGGTTTAACATCGTGCTTAAGAATATTTCGCTCATATGACAACGTGCATGCGTGTGTATGTGTATGTGCGGCTGCTTGTACTAGCCCAGACTTAAGCTGGTTTTATAGTGCTAGCCCACCGAGATACCATGCCGCAGTGAAGCATGAATACCCCACTCAGACACATTATATTGACTCCGAGCCGACCAGTCCTAGTTGTACCCATTAATGCCGAACGCCAGGCAGGGACCAACAAGTACCATATTTTAACATCTTTTGGTATGACGTGGTCGGGGATCGAACCCTTGACCTTCTGCTCTCCGGGCAGATGCTCTAACCACTACACCGGTCTTAATTAGTGAAAGAGAAGCATATATGGTAGGTGAGACATACTACATGTTATGAAGAAATGTCTTTGAAACATTGCAGCTTGATTTCTTACTGATGAAGGTGAGCAGTATTCAAGCAGTATCAAGAAGAGCCTGTAGCTGTAGCAGTGTGGGGAACAGAAACCATGTTTTGATCTGACAAACTGTTAAAGCCACTAGGCTTCTCCTCTGCCCACTCATGTAGGTCTTGTTGTGAAATGCTAAATTTGTTTGGTTGGGTAAATGAAATGTTTCTACTGCTTCATCCTGCAGTTATCAAAATGACTACCTCATGTCTGCCACACATGTTGGACAAGCTGGAAGTTTAATCCATAACGAGAGACAGAACAGATCTGTACCATCAGAAACACCCCCATCCCCGACATCCGTGTCAGATGTCCCCACCCTGTCCAGTGACTCCAGCACAGGGTCAACAGCAGCCCTTGTGAGGGACCTGCCAGGTTGGATGCTGGGGAAGTCCAAGAAGAGCCCAGCGCCATCTTTGTCCAAGAGTGACAGTGCAAGCTCTACAGAGGGAAGATCAAGGTATGATAATATATCATATATACATTTTGGATAGCTCTCAGTGGTGCTACACAATATTTTTACCCAGTCAGTGGATCAGTATCCACTTCAGTTTAATTCTCAGCTCCATGAGTTGTATTAACTCAAGCTGTCTTTGAGGCATGAGAAGGTTAACATGTGACATTACGATCTCTTCCTACTGGGTACCCATTTACTGATGGCTGAACAAAGTTACTTGCTTAAGCACCAAATGTGATGGGTGCTTCAGGGTGGAGCAGCAACAAAGTCTAGAATGACAGGAAGAAATCTCACCCATCCACATTAGTGTTGGGAATTGGTTAAAATCTCAAAATTGATGATTGGTTCATTACAACTGATCAATCATCGAAAATAATTGGTTATGTTTGTTAATGCACAACAAATATAGAAAAAACATGTATTTCTTTCGGGTTTTTTTGCAAATTGCACAAAATGCATTTACAAATTTCACATCTTAAAGGATGACTACCCAGATAGCATTGGCACAACGTTAGGCCAACGTCCGAATGCTATCTAGGTAGTATGTTAGGAACAAAAATTTCCTGGAGTCTTTAAGATAAATTCAATCATGACAAGGAACGAGCTTGTAGTGCTATGAAATGTAACAGACAAAACTAACCTTGTGAAAAATGTTGCTGATGCAAACAGGTATTCTAAAATTGTTTGGTCTTTTAGTCATTGCGACCAATCTTCAATTATTTGGACCACCACTAATTCACATACTCTCCGGTGCCGTGGTACTTACCTTTGTCTGATTGTGATTAGTGTACTGTACACAGGACCAAGTAGTAGTTGTGATGTTACTGCTTTCAGATATCTCACTGCACAATAATTAATGTTTCGTATGTCTGGTGTTTATGCCAGTCAGTACTTTTCTTAGTTCCACAAAGGTAGTTTACCCCAACTCCTTATTGTTTTCCTGTGATCCTTTGTAGGACAGATGTTTCAGGTCCACCGACTTGATCCTAGGATGGTAAAACCTATGGTATATTTCAAGATCTGTCAGCTACAAACCCATAATGTGGGTTTCACCAAGGTGTAAACATCTATGACTTGAACACTTGGTCTTCATACCCTATGAAGTTTTAATGCCTTGATATCACTTAAATACATTTGAAAGCGGGGTAATCTCACTTGTGTGTTTGGTCTTCCAGGTTTCGGAACACTGTGTATGTAATGACAGAACTGGAGTTGGTGGAAGCAGCTAAACAAGTTCTGAAACAGGTATCCATCATACTGCCACTGCCATGGGAGAATGAACCTTCCCATGCTTGTCTTCGTTGAAGGTCCGGAGAATGAACCTTCACTAAGCTTGTCTCCGTGGTCCGGGTTAGAATGAACCTTCAGTAACCCATGCTTGTCTATGAAGGTCCGGTTAGAATGAACCTTCACTAACCCATGCTTGTCTCCGTGAAGGTCAGAATGAACCTTCACTAACTGGCTTGCTTGAAGGTCCGGGTTAGAATGACCTTCACTAACCCATGTTATCGGGTTCCCACTAACCCATGTTGTCTCCGAAGGTCGGGTTAGAATGAACCTTCACTAACCCATGCTTGTTGATCACTGGATTGTCTGGTCCAGACTCGTGTGGTCAGGCTCGCTGGCTTGGTTGACATGTCATCTGTTCCCAGTTGCGCAGTGTGATGCTCATGCTGTTGATCACTGGATTGTCTGGTCCAGACTCGATTATTAACGGACCGCCTCCATGTAGCTGGAATATTGCCGAGTGCGACGTAAAACTAAACTCACTCACTCTCTACGCCATGGACACCCATGCATGCACAGGTACACTGTACTGGGAGGTCATCTTTGCTGTGGTTTAACTTGTGAAGGCAGATAAAGTGAAATGACATTAATTGTAAAGTCTGGTTCAAGTTTTTGAACATTTCAAGGATAACTTCATCATTTGTGACATTTCAGGTTTTCTTCATTTCCCATTCATGCGAAGTAAATGTAGAAGTGTACAAGGCAACATTCATATGTATTATTGGATAAGTAATATATGTGACAGTGAAATGAGTAAGGGGGTGGGTGTGATAACCAAGAGCTGAATGGCCTAACAATCAGGTGTCTGTTTGAACTGTAATGATCATCTACAGCACAAGGGTACAAAGGCAACTACAGTCCGTTTGATTTCATTTGAGGCTGATGAATTGCTCACTAACCCAAAATCTAGTAATTGCAACAAAACCAAATAATGCACAGTCACATGAAATCATCAGAGCTCTTCTGTCGATTTTAAGTGACTGTGCAAAAGCTGTCTGTGGCAGATTGTAGTGCAGAGTTGTGTCCCATACCTAAACTCCTGATTTAATAGGGCATCCTGAAGTAGATTATGTGGCATGAACTAAACAATTACCTCCCCTTGACAGGGTGGGCGAGAAGATCTGCTTGAGGTTTTTGAAAAACAAGCAAAGGAGGAGACAGGTATAGCTGCTGGTGTTCCTACTCCAAACAAGGACCAAACACACAAGTCAAAGGTTGTACCGGAGGAAGAGTTTGAAGACATGCTGGCTGTCCCAACACTGTCCACTGATCTTGCCTCCCCCAGAAAAAGACGGATGCCTGCCCCAGAACATTCTGCAGGTGAATCCACCGGTCTTCCATCTCCAGCAAAGATGAGGACTGTGGAGGCTGCATCTCCTGGACTGGGGAGGAGGAGACAGCCGGAGTCTCCTGCACTGGTCGAGGATGTGGTCGGGGGTTCTGAAGAAAACAGCGGGGAGGAGGGAAGGAGTGGGGTTCAAGGGGAAGGTGATACAGAGGAATCTCACCTCAGGTCAAGGAAGTGTGTAAGTGATGTGCTGAACTCAATCTTTGACTGAATGACAAATCTTTGTAATAAATGGTGCTATATTTTCTATACAAATACTGTTCTATATATCTGAAATTGATGTTGAAATTGTATGATTAAATATCATTAACAATGGGAAGGTTTCATTTTGTTTTTCTCAAACTACTGCTTTCTCTTTGCACCGTTTTTTTTTCAGGTTTATTAACCTTGATGTATCAATGGGTAGATCATATCAGGCTTGAGTGTGAATGAGAATGGTTCAGGCAACCTGGACAGATATTGGGTTGAGGCCATGTCAACCAATATCACAACACAGATGAGCTTCAGGCATTATACCCACATGGGGGATCTGAACCCAAATCTTTTGGCATGATCATCTAACATACAAGCTGAAAAAGCATTTGAGATAAAAGATTTACTTCATATTCTGCCTGTTGATTCACAACTGCAATAGGCCCCCTCTAACCAAAATGGAGAGTGTGTGCTCAGACTGAGTGGAGTCAACCCAAAATACAGCATATTTGCTACTACCACCAAGATCTGCACCCGAGGCGGCTCCACTTAGGCGTGAGCCCCAAGCTTCCACGCGACCCTCCTACACGTTGCGGCGTGACTCCCCTCGAGGGGTTCTTTAGTGCCGCAACGGTCCAGTATAGGCCCGACGCTCTAGTGCCATCCATTTTCAGGGCTGGTTCAGTGATTTTCCAGCAATGATGGTGGCATGTACATAATCCAGTGACTGACATGAGCATTATAATAATAACTTCATGCAAGAAGGTATGCTCATAGCGCTACATATTTGACTAGTTCACTCATCTGACTTGAAAACATCAAGACTTCCCGCTCTTTTCAACTCTTCTGGAAGATGATTGCAGCTTGAGTGGAATATCGTCTGTAGCCAAATCCTTCAAGTCACCACTTAAGGACAATAAAGAGAAACTGAGTTTCAGATCATAATGTTGGGTGATATCAGCTCAGTGGTACGGTGGTGCTTTACCATGTAGACATCTATATGTGAGTGGTAGTACTTTGGTTGCCTATTCAAGCCAGGATAGAATTCAATGTAGTCTTTAGAACTGGCTGTATGTGGGAGAACTTGTGTAAGAGTCACTATGCGTGCTGCAGTGTTTTGTAGGCGTTGAAGTCTTGAAATGGATTCTTGTGATATTCCAGACAATAAACTATTGCAGTAGCCTAGCCTAGAAAATATGAGGAATCGGACCAAGGGTGCTGGAACATGCTTGGTTATCAGGTGTGATAGCACCGATATTCCTGAACATTGGAATACGGTGACATGCATCAACCAAGTCCGTGAGTCTTACCACCTGTTATTGAGTGCATGATGCACAATGAAATTTGCTGGGTATTCCAATACAAATATGGAAACACATACCGGGTACTGTATATCTCCTGAAAAACTTTATTCCCTGACAAGCAGTGACAACAAACAAGACCTTCATAGATTTGTTTACTAGTAACAACTACATATATACACATCTCTGGGTTCACTCACACACATACAAATGCATACTCTGCTGAAGTCTGTTATGAACTGGACTTGGTCTATTTGTTATGCCGACGAAGTGGGTCGAACAGCCTGGGGTCATTCAGATAATGAGGGTCTTTATTCATGTAGGCCATATAACCTGAAAACAATACATATTTATGAATATCTAAAGGATATCACAAAGTACTGCAGTTTGCGTGATGCAGCAATTCTAGTGTTCCAGCTGTGACTTTTCTCACATGTTTCCTCGATCCTTCAGATTCAGTTTGGTTATCCACAACTCTATCCACTGATCTCGTTTCCAAACAAACACCCCATTATTATCACAAAGTTTAAGCACCCATTACAAATGAACCACCAGTACGAACATCCCTTTTTGATCACCCTTGACACATTTGTCAACATCTAGTTCAAAGTAGATTCTTACAAGTCTTTATCAAGGTTGGCAGGGAAAATGGTAGTTGAACATGTTTTTCTGTTTTTACAGAATTTTCAAATTTTGCCTTTGAATTGAACTTTGCATTTCTGAAAACTGAAACATTGTAATGAAATTTGGTATTCGAAAAAATACAAATTATAGGTTACAATGTTTTGACCATTATTCTAAATTCTAATTTTATGGTATTTACATGTCAAAGCTAACATGCCATAACAAGTTCAAAGCGACATTAAATGAAACACTAAGTGTAGTCACCTATGTTTACATATTTCAATATCCCTATCAAAAGTCTTGTAGGATATCTTCACATCAGTATTTATGATCTGGTATTGACTTACCCAGCACTCGAGCCCGTTTGATAAGTTTGGCCACCCGTTTCTGCATGGGAATGCACAGCTGTGTAATATGGCGGCCATATATTCGTCCCGTGAAAGGTGATACAAACTGACTCAAGAGACGCACATTCTGAAACATAAAGACACCTTTTCAATTATCACAAAGTAATAGAATCAAATATTTCATAAAGATTAAATACTGAAAATGTGAATCAATTAACCAGATCTGATGTGCTGTAAGTAAATTATTCCCTATATCATATATGCATAATGTGATAAAAGGTGCTGGTGAAAACAGGATGGGGCACTGCATTATCAGGAACAGACATGAGACGACTCTCCTGTCGACATTCAGGTGTATCAACCTTTTCAAGGTATGTCATTAACCCTTCAACAAAGAAAGGGTCATCTACATTGGATGAGGTGAGGTGAAATAGGGTTTAACGCCATGCTTGAGAATATTTCGCTCACATGACGTGCATGCATGTGTATCACTGTATGTGTATGTGCGGCTGCTTGTACTAGCCCAGACTTAAGCTGGTTTTTTATAGTGCTAGCCCACTGAGATACCATGCCGCAGTGAAGCATGAATACCCCACTCAGACACATTATACTGACTCCGAGCCGACCAGTCCTTGTTGTACCCATTAATGCCAAACGCCAGGCAGGGACCAACAAGTACCATATTTTAACGTCTTTTGGTATGACGCAGTCGAGGATCGAACCCGAGACCTTCCGTTCTCCGGGCGGACGCTCTAAGCACTACACCACGGAGGCGGTCATCTACATTAGGATGGTACAGGCAGCGGTGCACCAGGGTACACTATGTGTTATCTTGGGCAACATGGCCAAGTTTTTCCAAATATTTATGGTTACCTTAAAACATTTTAGTAACTTATTACACCATACCTTCCAATCCAAATCTATATCCTTCTCACACAGCAGACATTTTCTAAAGTTCTTTTCAAAAGGGTCTGGCATCCGATGCAGAGGCTGAAAAATGACAAGTTCACATCATTTTCCATTCTACTGTCCTGAGATTAGATGAACTTGCAAATGAATGAGTGAAAAAAAGTTTGAGTTGAGTTCAAAGACACCTACCTGGGTAAAAAAAATTATGTTGTTCATGGGTCTATGTGAAGCATTTCTTGGACATTTACACTCATGAAAGGCACAGGTATGGTGTTGACAAACTTAGAAACGTGTGAGGTGAGGTGAAATAGGGTTTAACGCCATGCTTGAGAATATTTCGCTCACATGACGCGTGCATGCGCGTACACTGTATGTGTATGTGCGGCTGCTTGTACTAGCCCAGACTTAAGCTGGTTTTATAGTGCTAGCCCACTGAGATACCATGCCGCAGTGAAGCATGAATACCCCACTCAGACACATTATACTGACTCGAAGTTGACCAGTCCTTGTTGTACCCATTAATGCCGAACGCCAGGCAGGGACCAACAAGTACCATATTTTAACGCCTTTTGTATGACGAGTCGAGGATCGAACCCGAGACCTTCCGTTCTCCGGGCGGACGCTCTAAGCACTACACCACGGAGGCGGTCATCTACATTAGGATGGTACAGGCAGCGGTGCACCAGGGTACACTATGTGTTATCTTGGGCAACATGGCCAAGTTTTTCCAAATATTTATGGTTACCTTAAAACATTTTAGTAACTTATTACACCATACCTTCCAATCCAAATCTATATCCTTCTCACACAGCAGACATTTTCTAAAGTTCTTTTCAAAAGGGTCTGGCATCCGATGCAGAGGCTGAAAAATGACAAGTTCACATCATTTTCCATTCTACTGTCCTGAGATTAGATGAACTTGCAAATGAATGAGTGAAAAAAAGTTTGAGTTGAGTTCAAAGACACCTACCTGGGTAAAAAAAATTATGTTGTTCATGGGTCTATGTGAAGCATTTCTTGGACATTTACACTCATGAAAGGCACAGGTATGGTGTTGACAAACTTAGAAACGTAACTGGTGGAAACTGTGAGTTGAGCCCACAATCCCAGGTTTCAAGCATGAAGTTACCTGAATGCAGGTAAACTGTTATCGTCGACATTCATGTATCATAATGATCATGTCATATTTTTCTTAATGCTCATCAATACAACTGTAAGTGAGGTGAGGTGAAATTTGGTTTAACGTCGTGCTTGAGAATATTTCGCTCATATGACGATGTGCATGCGTGTACATGTGTATGTGCGGCTGCTTGTACTAGCCCAGACTGAAGCTGGTTTTATAGTGCTAGCCCACTGAGATACCATGCCGCAGTGAAGCATGAATACCCCACTCAGACACATTATACTGACTCCGAGCCGACCAGTCCTTGTTGTACCCATTAATGCCGAGCGCCAGGAAGGGACCAACAAGTACCATATTTTAACGTCTTTTGGTATGACGCGGTCGAGGATCGAACCCCCGACCATCCGCTCTCCGGCCGGACGCTCTAACCACTACATCACGGAGGCGGTCACAACTGTAAGTAAAGTTCAAACATTTTGATGAGAGTGAGGGTATGGTTTACACCACATAGAGCAACATACCAACTTCCAGTCATATCACTTCCACATCATTATGACTGCCTCTGCAAATTGTACTCATCTTGGGAACTAACTGTCAAATAAAATGTCCTAATCTGCTCAAAGATGGCAGAAAAAAATCATTTTGTCTTTTCATGTACAATAAACTCATCTCTGTTAAGCTGTAAAACTCAGAACACTAAACTGTTAAAGCATGCTAAGTAACGTATAAGTCAAACCATGTCATTTTCAACTTGTTCACTGAGCTGCTTGACAAGCTGTGGATTGAACTGCTGGACGTATTTGAGACTTGGATCTTTCTTTTCTTCAGTCACAGTGGCCTTCTGTTTTGATGCGGCAGTAGGTTGCTGGCTTTGTGCACAGAACAGTCGTGAAAATATCACACCTAAGCAAAGAGAATGATTTTTATTGAAAAGCATGTACAATGTGAATGACACCCCCTAGTTTATTTATGTGTACCCCTACCTCCCAAGAACAAAATGGGTGGAATCATCATCACGCCCCCACCCTCAGCCATAAATTATGAACGGCCCCTTAATATTGTCCACCGTCTGCTATATAAATATTAGCAATATTCTTGCGGTGCCATTCCATCCATTGCGGTTGTCTACCCGATCCCGTTAGTCGCCTCTCATGACAAGCATGGATTGCTGCAGACCAAGGGGGTGAAAGCAAGCATCTGTCAAAGCCTGACTATAACCAATGTTAATGACTTGCTGACACGGCATCACGATTTCATATATAATTGCACGATACGAAGATCGGAACCAACATCCTCACCTTGGACATTTTGTGTATGAGATAAATTTGTGAAGCCCCCTAACTTGAGAACACGATGTACTTTCAACGGCACGCTCATGGTTTGTCTTGAGGCCATGTGCGCGGCCATGACACTGTCACGCGGTAAATATAATTGAACCAAATTAAACTTGCTCGATATCTACAGTATTTCATAAATGACCTCCCGCAAACCACAGAGCGATGTTAAAAATACCTGAAAAAATAATTGGTTGTTTGTATGTGGTCCTAATTTAATCTGTTCGCCCGAAAGCGGTCACTGCGGTTCTGTTGTGTTTACAAATGGCGAATGTTGTCATAATCTGCATCCAACCAACTTGCTGTGAATATTTTGTCAGTGACACTGACAGATGATCAAAGGTAGCTATCAATGTCAGTTTGATTGTAGAAGACGCATCGAAATCTAGCTCTAAACTGTCATCGATGTAGTCACTGATTACAAGTACAGGAACATTCTCGACTGGGCAAGTTAAGGCGTGATCATCAACACATTTTGTTATACGATGACAGCAACTCTCCGGAAAGATTTCCGCCCGTAACCCCGTTTTTTTAAATAACTCTATACCTAAGAAAAGATGTTTTTTATCGAAAGCCTACCCAGACCCTAACCCTAAACCGTACCCTAAATCTGACATAATGCTAAATCTAAACCCTTATCCTAAATCCTAACCCCTAGAAATAATCATAATAAATAGCAAACATGTCAAGCGGGGGTTACGGGCGGAACTCTTACCCAAAAACGTATTTTTTATCTTTAATATCATTTAAAGTTTTTATTTTACTAACCCTGAGTGATAAAGGATATATTCATCTATTTCACGCAAAAATATCAAGTGTTGCCTACAAAAATAGCGTTCATGACATCATATCGACGAAATTGTTGCCGCTCTCCACATCCAGGTATTTTGTAGAGGTTTTCGACGATGAGCCATACTTTTCGCTCCACACTGCGAGGGAGTGTTGTGATCACGTGGCTTCCTATTTTTATATATTGCCTGTCACTAGCAGACGACTGATCTTACTGAAGTTTCGCTTGCTATTTTTTGTTATATTGTCAATTGATTTTGCATCTGAAGTGGTATTAACAATCTCAGGTAAATAATATTGATGTTTGTTTGCTTTTTAAATAACTTAACTTCCAGATTTCCATTGTCAATAAAACTTCTCACGACGGTGACTGGGCACCCGCCCTACCGATGAAACTGCTTGTGCACTCCGATCGCACACGTACTCACCCGATATAGCGCGAGCAATGCAATCGTCGAAATGGATCTAGTTGAAGCAGGTACAGGTACTGAAGTATTATATTCACTAGTAATGTCAGACAAACATTTGCGCCTTCCTTTCTTAACAATCCTTGATAATGGTGTCTGGCAACGAATCCCAATGACTTTCGGTCTTCCGCTTTGAGCAGAGTTATTTATATTTTTCCTGTCGCGATAACGTTTCAAAAACTTACTGATTGTGCCCTTGGACAAATCCAATATTTTACAAATTTCTGACTGTTTTAATCCACTCTCAGTTAGCGATACGATGCTTGTTTTCACAGACATCGACAGATCTTTACCCCTACGACCCATTGTGTCTACCTCTACCTCTAGTGTGTTTTCATGCTAGGTTTTAGTGCGATACGTTTCCAACTCGCTCAACGTGACGCGTTTGAAATACCGAAACATCACACGTTATTGCGGCCAAGTCGAGAATGTTGACAAAGTTTTGGCATTTGGCATGTGAGTGTATTTCAGAGTCGGGCGCCTATGAGCTAATTATATGAGTAAGTTCGCTTCCCAAAGTAGTGGCAAGTGAAATCTGAAAAAGTGTAGCCAGTACACTGCAGTACTCTCTCTTTAGCCTTTGCTAGTTTGCACCCAATTATTTTGATGTAGCGTTTTTTATACCTCTACAAGTACAACTGTATTTTTCATCTCCAATTATTAAAGTAATGAGAGCTCTTCACTTCTGCATCATTGTCATATTTTTGTCAATGAGACTAATTTTCAAGTAAATTTTGAGATGTTCACTATTGTTGAGCTCAGGAACATGTTTTAAGAATTGGCATATTCTTGGTACAAAGTCAGAAGCATCAAACGACTGTGGGCAAAAATTGCCCAGTATACAGTGTACCATATTGATAATATATTATAATACAACTAAGTTTATCTCTTATATGCATGAAAGTTAACATTAATGACAGTTGTTATTTTATTACTATTTTGAGGATGATATCTTCTCAGTGACACTGATAAGCAGACAGGCATTAAATAACAAATAGGTTTTGACTGAAACAGCTCTAATCTAATTGTTTAGTAGATAATGATTATATTGCAGGTCTATCAACACATTAATAATTTATGTTTCATTTCAGCTGATTGAATTACTAAAACAGCAAAATGTCTGGAGATACGGGTCCCACTGAACTGAGTATGTCAGGCCCAGTAGAGTTAGACCAACTTCAGTTTGACTTCAGTGGTAAATCAGATGCAGACATAGTTCTCAGCGGTGATGTGATCGAAGAAAACAATGACAGTTCGAGAGAACAGTCAGCACTCATAGACCTCATCCCAGTCAGTATGAACAATGATGCATTTCCCGGGGGTCTCGTAGATGAACAGAATCATGTCAAGGTGCATGAGGAGGAGGGGACAGAGCAGCAAGAGGATGCTGCACAAGACCAGAAAGCACAACTGAATGGACATCATGCTGGTGATGCACATGCATTCACCAACATCCTGATTGATGAGAAAGTGATGGAGCAGAATGAATCTGTTGATTCATCAGCAGATAGTCAGAATGGTGTGCACAGTGGACAGGGTGAAGAAGCCATGGTGAAAGATGAGAATTCTCAGGTACAGGATAAAGATCAGGTAAATAGTTGGGCTGCAAAAAATCCACTGTGAGACGGATATACTACATATAATGAAGATTTGGCATCAAATATGAATATTAGGCAACAAATTTGAATATTGGGCATCAAATATCACTGGCGGTTCCAGAGGGGTTGGGGGGTTCGAACCCCCCTTTTTGAAAATGACTTAAGACCACATTGAAGATTTCTTTTGCGTTGAGCGAGCCAATGGGGGGAATTCAGGGGTTCGAACCCCTTGAAAACACACCCCACCCCATCACCCCCACCCCCAAATTCCTGGATCTGCCCATGAATATTGGGTAACAAATATGGATATTGGGTAAAGAATACAATACTAAGTCAGCAGTTAAAGTATTGTTCAATGTGTTCAGTAAAATATTAACAGAATATGTTTTGGCATGTTTTGACCATATTGATATTGTTAATTTGTCATGACAATAACCAGTGACAACATTTTTGTAAAATTATATATATAAGAGTGTTGGCGATTATCCTGCCTAGCTTGGATATATTCCAGCCCAGAAAAGAATATAGATCACAGTGGACATACTCAAATTGACCCACTTAACAGAAAGTAGACATTTTAATGAAGGATTGATTTTAAACTATGGATGAAACTTAGCAGTTAGTATCCACATTTTACTAATATCAGAATTTAGAAGATTTAGGCGAGAACAAACGTTGAAGTATTCAGTGTAGAAGATGGTTTCTGTCTTCTGCCAATTTGACAACATTTTAAGTGGAATTTGAAGTAATGGTTCATCAGAATGTAGTTCTGCAAAGAAATGACAATGATTGCTATGATCATTTAGTATTTTCTACTTTCAGAATTTACTGAGAGAGAGTGTGCGATCTTCGACAGATGTGATTGTTGAATCTGGCCCAATCCCAGAGAATACCCGTCCTGATATTTTGTCATCTACGAAGAAGCCTAGGGACTCTGGTGAAGGTGAAGACTCTGATTCAGAGTTCGAAGATGAATATGCAGAACAGGAAGTTATCCAGAAAGAGGAGTCTGAATCTGATTCTGAGTTCGAGGTTCCTGATCGTCCAAATGAAAACACTGGCATTGATTTGTCCAAAGAAATTATCCCTCCAAGTCTGTCAAAAATGTCCCAAGATCAAACTGCTCTGCCTTCACAACCTGTATCAGGATCATCTCCGTCATCAGTCATCTGTCCCGAAGTGCCATCCCAGCCTGCACCACAGCTGCCCAGTGTTACACCTCCACCTCAAGGAGACATCTCCACCACCTTGCCTTCAGTCACAGGGGGTGTTGGCCCAACTCCTGTAGCCCAAGTGAGGGAAACCGACCCCTCTGTATCATCAGGGCTACCGTCCATCTCCTCCAGTATGGCCAGTTCTTCATCTCCGCTGCCTGTGTTGGACGCCACGAAGGAAAAGCTGAAAGTAAGTTTTGTGGGGCTTGTAACATGAGTTTTTATATGTTAGTTGTATAATGCTGGACCAATATTCTTGCTATATGACAGCCTCTCTGGACCAGAGATTAATGCTATCTGCAGTGCATGTTGTATGATGAAATGCAATTGAGATGCAATGAAAAATGACAGGGTGTAATATTGTTTAATTATTTCCCAGGGCTCCAGATAATTTTCCAACATCAGGAGTATGTACTCCTTATATTTTCAACATAAAAGTACTGGAAAACCTTAAGAGTACATTTAGAGTACTGAATGGAATTTAATGGAGTATCAGTAATTTTGTGTTTCGTTTCATATATGCACCACAACATTGCTACTCTTGTGTAAATAGGTCAATAAACAATAAAACAATACTTTTTCAGATAAATACATCTGTAAATGATTCTAAGACCGTACACCATTGCTGTGGTGCATATCTGCTATGTTTTTAAAGTTATTTCCTACAGTATCGTGCTTATTTTATATCCGTACATACGCCGATACAGCCCTTATCTGGAGCCCTGATTTCCCATTCTGAAATGCAATGCTACGGTTCCTTTGCAAGATAGGTAAAGACATCAGATATTGTGCTGCTGTTGTTTAACTAGGCCAGTGGGAATCTCCCAGCATCCACTGACGGTGTTCCTAGGTTTATATGTCTGTGACAGGCCTTTCATATCTGTGATGCAAATTAAATTCTGCTGAAAGTGGGAGTAGAATGTTGTAAGATGAGACATAGTTGGAAACCCATTGGGATTCTGGGTGAGAGTGTATGCTGGCTTGTACGAGGTGACTTAGTAGACCTGAAACCCTGTGACTAGACTGATGTCAGTGACAGTTATAAAATATATCACTGTGGGACAGCTTTAAATAACGGATGCATACACCCATACAATACATTATTTCATGAAATGCATTTTAATGCAGAGTTAAAATGGCAGTAGAAAAGGTAATTAGGGTTATAATATGTAATCCCAATTACAAAATTACAAAATATCACTTTTTCCCCATGTTCATGTGAAATGCACTTGGTTACTTAGCAAAGGACCTGATTTTAAGTAGATTAATTAACTTTTATTGAAGTTGTTAGTGTTTAAGTATGAAACCTTAAATGCTAAAGTTAAATTCCGCTTTGTTTTCTATTTGCCAGAGAGTTCCTGAACTTCAGAATTCTGATGACTGGGAGAATGTTACCACAATACAAGCTGGTGAGTTTATCACTTATGGATCACAGTGAATGCAGTGTGTGTGTGTGTGTGTGTGTGTTCGGATATATTTATCATTGCTAAATGAAATACTATAGTACTGTCGGAAATAGAAAAAAACTGTTTTTAGGCTCTTACTCTGTATCCCTAAAATTTACACAACTGCAAATAGCATATGTCGAAATAACCCACTTCGGGCCTAACTTGGCATTCAGTGGGATGCGTAATAGGATATCCAGAAAAGCATGTTTACTCGTAAAATCGGGCAAAACTTAGAAAAAATACGAATAGCTGCTGAAAACAATAGATCAGACTATAGATGGCAATTAGGTCGCTCAGCCAGGTATGACGACGGACCGTCGACTCACCTGGCATGAAATGCATGTGCTGCCTCCAGGCGCCCAAGGGGTCATCTCAAAGATATTTTGTGCTTTGACTATGCCTCATCTATTGATTAACAGCTTAAGTGTCTCTCTTTCATAAAGTTTATGTTGAGATATGTAAAAGAGTTTGATACCTGATAACCATAGAAACGCATCGTATTAAATGTCTCAAAATATATAGGTGGCATGACCACCCGATCGCGAAGATCGACAGGACTGGATTGATATTATTTGTAAATTGTTATGACATGCCGTGTGTACTTCCCCAGTATAATTGCCCTAAAGGATTATCGTATCTTAGCTGATATCTCTATCCCCAAGCCCGACCCCAACGATTGTCTGCATTACACCCGTCCAGGTTTTGCTTTTGAGACGAACCCTCCTATCTGTTTCTTTTATAGTGACAGTGAGACTCCATGGTAGCTACATCCTTAATAGTTTCAGCATGAAAGTTATTATTTTTACGCCAGCTATCGTTTATAATGAAGCTATGTCTAATTTCAAATTGGTCACTTAAAAAGTGTCCTTTATAATACAATTTCGTCGCACACTAATTTGCATACAGCCATGGTCTGTTCCAAATAATTCGTTTTGGACTTAGAAAAATATCGCATTGCTCATTCTGCACTAATCTCTCCTCAGTAAAGTCCTTTTTCTACGTTTCTTGTGTCCCTACCACTGAGACTGTAGTTAGGCCGAACTTAGTTTAAGAGATATTTCACACTTGCACATATCAACTACATAAATTGTAGAGATAAATGAGAAAATACAGTTTTTTTCTTTTTCCGACAGTACTATAGTTTGTCATGTCTGTGGATTATAATGACTGCTTTCAATTAAATATGTTTTCATTGTTAAATCAGGATATTTTAAAAAATGAACCTCATACTGATCATTAACGGAATAACTGAAGTCTATATATTTGTGAGTCCTGGGTCTTAATGAAATAAAAATGACAGTGTTAGGAAGACCTCTGTTTGGATGTATAGATAACATGATCACACAGGCCAGGGGAGTGAGGTCTGGTTATTGATATTGTTGAAGGAAAACACCGAATGAATACAATATTTACATTTTTCTTTCATAAAGTACTTAAGTACTAGGGGTGTCACGATACACCAATCTCACGATACGATACGTATCACGATTTTAAGGTCACGATACGATACGTATCGCGATATATAATTTTCGCGCCTTTTTATAGCATTACCTTACCGGCAACGTACGCGCTTGCTGATTGGTCCATCAAAATAGTCTAGCCAGTCACAAAAGCTGTTAGTTTCCAACCTATTTTTTAAGTAAAGCTAGCTACATCTATTTATCGGAGCGATCTTGTACAATTTTACTATCAAGACTTTGAAGGAGATGGATATAGCATAAAAATTTGAATCGATAAAGTTTTAAAATAGGAATCGATACACGCAAGCATGTATCGCGTATCGTATCGTCAGTAAAAATGTATCGATGGATCGATACATTCGCGTATCGCGACACCCCTATTAAGTACTCATCTAGAATACCTGTAGCACATACATGATGTAGTATTCTGCTAGAAGTGTAAGATGGTCCACTTAATTATAGGCTGTGTATTGGCCCCCAAATTGCATATCAATATATTGTTATACAGATATATGTATTGTGATGAATGTTTTGATGTACAGGGAGCTTAAGTTTTTAATGATGATACTGTTTGTGCATGAAGGACTAGTCTTCTTCTACGTACAACAGTAAACATTACAATGTCAGTCATCGTAGTCTTTGGCTTAACAGCTATGAGAAATAAGGCCTTTTTGAAGGAAAATATCATTTGTGGATGAATTTCTGTGTAGCGAGTGAGTGAGTTGGATTTTACGCCGCTTTTAGCAATATTTCAGCAATATCATGGTGAGGGACACCAGAAATGGGCTTCCCACATTGTGCCCATGTGGGGAATTGAACCCGGGTCTTATACGTGACTAGCTGACGCTTTAACCGCTAGGCTACCCCACCGCCCCAAATTTCTGTGAAGATTGTTGGTTATATTTTACCGGGTAGTGGGGTAGCCTAGTGGTTAAAGCATTCACTCATCACAGTGAAGGCCCGGGGTCAATTCCCCACATGGGTACAATGTGTGAAGCCCATTTCTGGTGTCCCCTGCCATGATATTGCTGGAATATTGCTATAAGCGGCATAAAACCCAACTCACTCACTCATTGTAATGTTTTACCCACTATACATGAACACAGAAGGCATATTTGATGCATATCGTTTTAAACATATTCCAGCACACCGGTAATGCAGTTCAACCCAAGTGTGAAACCCTGATCACTGTATCCTTTTGTGTTTTCAGAGTTTGCAGAGAACAAGAGTGCAACAAAAGGTAGTTAATGTTTCTGGCTATGTAAGGTAATGCTGTTATTGAACACATCTTTGTAGGCTGAAAGGTGCAGAAAAATCACAAAACAATTTGCGAAGTGTTGTTTTGAGATACCTTATTTGCATTCCCGGTTGTTTCTGGCTATGTAAAGTAATGCTGAAATGCTGAACACATCTTTGTTGGCTAAAAGATGCAGAAAAAAACACAAAACAATTTGGGAAGAATTGTTTTAAGAAACCCTATGGGAATTTTTGTGTGGAGAATTTAATTATTTTTTTTCCTTATCCTGACTCATGCTAATTATGCTTGTCTCCTTCCTCTTGCGTCCCTTTCCTCCCAAATGGTCACATGATCAGCTCTACACAGAAGACAAGGTCTTTCTCGGCCGAGATTGTTCCTCCGGAAGAAGCAGATGTTTATGATGATCTACCCATCCTCATACCTGCAGTCACCATCGTCAGTAAGAATACAAAGCCTGCTTCTACAGCTACATCGGCATTGGTATCAGCGCAGACATTGACAAAAGACCTGCTATCAACGCAGACATCGGGTACCAGCGATAGCAGCAGCGTCAACTCTTCATGAGTGCAGCGAGCCTTAGATGACGTCTCTTCAGTATCAGATGCATCATCCCTGCAGCAGTCTCTTCAGACAACGCAGAACTTCAACCCGGGACTGTTCATGCAACAGTTTACAGACCAGATGATGTCGATGATGGAACATCGCTTCGCTCAGGAGAAGGCTGCTATGAAGACTGCTACGTCTACTAGCCTGCGTGAAGGCTCTACAGTCTCCCCACCACATCTGGATGAAGAGGGAAGCCTGCGCGAGGGCTCACGGACACGACGATCTTCCCCATCTGAAGTAGACGCCCCAGAGAGTGTTGCTAAGAAGTCTCCACGCAGGAAGGAATCGAGGCGTTCTCCTGAACCCTACAGACATCGCAGATATAAGTCGTCATCTCCATCGGACTCTGATGCCCATCAAGAACCTGTGCGAAGGCACTCCTACAGAGGGGAAGCTACGTCCAGGAATCCACCTTCGGAAGGATTCAAGATCGCATCGGGATCAAACGCCTGCTCTTCATACAGATCATCCCATAGAGAGAGGGGAGATTACGTCAATCAGCCTTCGTGAAGGCTTAGAAAGATATTCAAGACTCCAGGAGGAATGCACAGTCACACCAGGACCGTTCACCTGTACGCAGCTCTACATACAGATCTACATACAGAGACTCACGTCATTATGGATCTTCAGATAGGGAAATGTCTAACGGACAACTCCACAGTAGCGTTCTATATCAACAAACAAGGATCAACAAGATCAACAAGTCTGCTACAACTCAGCTTTCTCCTGTTCAGCATCGTGGACGACCTGAATATCTACATGAAGGCAGGCCACATTCCAGGAGCAAAGAATGTCATAGCAGATGCCCTATCTCGTCCACTACAACCATCTCTTATGGAGTTGATGTTACACCCAGAAGCATTCCGGTTCGTCATACAGACAATAGGATCTCCACTGGTAGACCTGTTTGCAACAAAGTTAACAAGCAACTACCAACATTCGTCTCACCGATTCCGGATCCTCAGGCATGGGCAACAGATGCTTTAAGCTTCTCATGGAAAGGACTAAACGCTTACGCGTGTCCACCTCCAGCACTACCCACAAGTAATACAGAAAATCAAGCAGACAACAACGCTGCAACTGATTTTGGTCGTGCCCTATTGGCCAGCGAGGGTATGGTTTCCCGTCCTCATACAAGAACTCGGAAGTCCAACCCTGAAACTACAAGAGTGGTCGAACCTGCTCGTCCATCCACACACCAAGCAAGCTCACGGGAAACCGGCATTGTTCCAGCTACACGTGTGGATCGTATCAAAGCTTGCCTGAAGACTAGAGGGTACCCCGCCAGAGCAGTGAAAGCAGTAACACTAGCTCTACGCAGATCAGCTCGCAACTTGTACAACGACAAGTGGCAGAGATTTGAACAGTATGCAGCTAGGAAAGGCTTTACAGCAGTAAAGCAACCCATCCTCAAGTGGCGGAATACCTGTGTCATCTGCGACAGACAAGACACTTAAAAGGTTCAACACTCTCAACGTACTTAGCTGCTCTCAGCACAGTTATCACCATGAAGGCGGGTGTCAAGCTGACCAAAGTACCAGAGATACTGGCACTACTACGCTAGTTCAAGTTGGAAGACCAACAAAAGAAATTCAAGGCTCCTGCCTGGGATCTCAACATAAGTTCTACATCTCACCAGTGATGCCTACGAGCCTCTAGATCGGACATCCTTTGAACTATTGACTCAGAAAATGCTGTTTCTGATCGCCCTAGCAAGAGCAGCCCGGATGTCAGAAATACATGCTCTGGACTTCGAACGAACATTATTTGAATCATCTACAAAGGACAAAATAAGGGGACGAAAATTCAAGCACATATTCATCCCCTTATCCACTGAGACGCCCACGGAAGTCTCTCGGACAACAATATCTATCTGGATTAGAGCCATTATACTAAGAGCCTTTAAAGCAGCAGGACTTGAGCCTCCACAAGCCTCCAATCCACATGAAGTCAGAACCCTGGCATCAACACTTGCTCTGCATGGAAACTGCTCGATTACAAGTATAATGGAGGGCTGCTTTTGGAGATCGAACACGGTGTTTGCCAACCACTACCTCAGAGACATTGCCACCGAAGACGTCTCAAGCATTCACCAGTTTGGGCCACTGGTTGTAGCACAACAACTAACGGTTCCACAAAGGCGCTGAGAAAATCTCACCCTTTTTATCACGTGACTTGTGAAAACCAACGCTCTGAAGAGCAAATGGTTAAAGTCCATGCACACATCAAGGACGGACTAGCATGAGTGATAGACCCTGTACTTGTATAGGACATACTCGTATATGAAGAAGGGTCGCATCTCCACTTGATGCGTGCATCAAGAGATGGAGTTGCAATAGATAACTAATGGAATATTAGTATATCTAAAATCCACATGAAAATGTCAGGAGAAGTTTCGGAAGAAATCTGACAAGTTGTGGTTCCCCCCAGACTCATCAGAGAGAAGTAGAAAGAATCTTCAACAATGCCGTCATAAGTTCCCAAGGGGGGTAATACAGGACGTAAATCTACAACCAGGGACTCCAGAACGTGGCTTGACCCACCACCGTTTCCGACAGATTCTGCAAGCATGAGTCAGGATAAGGAAAAATATGTAATTTTCTGACTAAAATTGATATTTTATACTTATCCTGACTCATGAGGTTAGCCCTCCCAACCTCCCCTCTTATGGCACTCTCGATTTCCCTGTAAATCCGGGTGTCAGGCTTACATACGGAGATAGTGACAAATATGACCGATCATGTGACCATTTGGACGCCAAAGGGAGGAAAGGGACGCTACTCATGGGTGAGTGATTTTACGTCCGCTTTTTAAAAGGGAACTTCAAGGGATTTCAGGTGTTCCACTATCATTCGCAAGAGGAAGGAGACAAGCATATTAAGCATGAGTCAGGATAAGTATAAAAAATCAATTTTAGTCAGAAAATTACATGTTTCTCCATATTCTAAAATATCTGTCTTGGAATTTTGGTTAAGCATTCTTAGGATGTTTCATTGTTGCTCAAATAGCACAGTGAGTGAGTTTAGTTTTACGCCGCACTCAGCAATATTCCAGTTGTATGGAAGTGGTCTGTAAATAATTGAGTCTGGACCAGACAATCCAGTGATCAACAGCATGAGCATCAATCAGCGCAAATGGGAACCGATGACATGTGTCTACCAAGTCAGCGAGCCTGACCACCCGATCCCGTTAGTCGCCGCTTACAAATAGCACAGAGATACATTTCTTTATGATGATCTTGTTTATGAGGAAGGATTTGTGATAATTACCAGTTCTTCGAGGTGTGAATTTATTGGTACCAAATAGTAAAAGTACTTTGCAACCTGCAAGTAATGCCAAACTACTGATAGGTTTGTGAATCTGCTTCACACTTCCAGACAGCACAGCACAGTCCTACCCTTCTCCCCTGCTCTCTGTCAAGGAGGCGGTTGACCATTTCAAGAACTCGGATCTGTCTGCTGTTAAGGTTAGAGAACATAAACCAGCAATTGTATTTTCACTGAAGTCTTGAACTGGTGCATATCCTAATACTTTGTTCATGATATGTATCACATGACATGATATGTATTCCCAAGTAAGATTGCATGAATTTGTTCTAAATTAGAAATGATCCAAGAAAAGAAAACTGATTAAGTTTCCAAAATCATCTACTGTTTGTACAAATACATGGTAATACTGAGTAACTGACTTCTGATACACTACCTCTCATTAAGGATATGAGGACAGTGAGTGAGTGAGTTTATTTTTCGCCGTACGCTTACCGTACGCAACAATATTCCAGCTATATGGCGGTGGTCTGTAAATAATCAAGTCTGGACCGGACAATCCAGGGCCACCTTTTTCCTATTGTCTTTGACTACCGAGGAGAAAACTAAATACTGCGTGCACAATTCATAATACTGGTACCCAGATACACCAAAACATACGACGAATGGATGTTGGGTACCATACCCGCAGTAATGATGACAGTCCACACTGTCTGTAAACTATAGCTGAAATTGCTTTGAGAGGCATTTTAGAAGTTTTATAGATGAAGGAAAACCAATATCTATGGATAGTCAACTTCTTTATTGCATTCGGTGCGACGTTTCGGTGTAGGTACTAACACCGTTATCAAGCAAGTGATGACTAAACTCACTCACTCACTCACTCACTCACTCACTCGCTCACTTGCTTGATAACGGTGTTAGTACCTACACCGAAACATCGCACCCATTGCAATAAAGAAGTTGACTATCCATAGAACTTGGTTTTCCTTTATGACTGAAATGTATTGAAAATCTTTGTGAAGGAGTAGACTTCAGTGTTATGACACAGAAGCATGTGTATCTTTCTTGTTCAACATGTCTTCATATAATATTGAACAAACTTTATGGAAACCAACTTCTTTTATTTCGAAATAAAAGAAGTTGGTTTCCATAGTTTCTTCAATATTATACATCCTAACTTCTAAAATGACACTCAAAGAAATGTATTCATATACTTGTTACAGCCAAACGTGCGGACATCCATTGAAAGGCGTGGGTTGTCAGCATTGACACACTTCCTGTTTGGCCCTCCCAAGATACACAGAGACTTGCTGCCTGAGAGAGACATGATCTTCTGCGTGGCTGGATGTGAGTTTATAGGCGGGGTATGAAACTCCCAAAAATTTCAGCCAGACCACAGGGCTGGTTAGATGTAAAACTTGCCAGTCCTGACCAAAACTTACCTGCCCACAATATATCTTCATATACATGTCTAAATTTTAACCCGACCGTCAGGCAGGTGAATTTGAGAATCTGGCAGTCCGTGTTGAAAATAACCCGTCCCGGGTGGTCAGACAGGCAGGTATTTCGAACTCTGGCATAGGACTTGTAAACAAACTGAAGAAAACCTTACACTTTTGACACTGAAAGGCATAGCAGCTAATCAAAACACTGTTTCATATCCTATAAATATCGATTTTATTGTTAGCCTGAAAACACACCAAGATTAGATAAGAGTTTGACTCTCCTATGTCAGGCTAATGAATGGATTCCCAGTCAGATATTACATGCAAGTAACGTCTGCACATTTAGTGCATATGGTTTATGTACAGCCGTGTTTGCTTTGAAGGATACATACACTCGTGTATATCCAAATATGGTGTGTGTTTTATATAAAGTGTTCTGTTGCTGAAAACCTAGAACCCTCTGCTTGTTGTAACTATAAAACTGAGTTAGATCAGATGGTTCTGGTGTAACACTCTCAGATCAGTTACTTTATAGAAATGTGCTCTCCTGGAAGAAGCCTATTTAACACAGAGAGCCATTGACATTTGTATCCTTTATATTGTAGCTCAGCTGGACAATGAGGACAGAACCCATGTACAAATCCTTCAATCTATCTACCGCACGCTCACAGGATCTCGCTTCGATTGTCAACGCTTCGGGAGTCACTGGGAGGAGATAGGATTTCAAGGTTGTAGACTCTTGTCTGCTTATAAAGTCACCCTTGATTAATTGAAAATATATTCAGTTTTATTATGATGTGTAACATAGATCCATTAGTCACCATAGCATCCTCCATTTCACTAGAAACGACCATTAGCCACCACAGAATTTGTCTTCAGTAACCCATGCTTGTAAGAGGCAACTAACTGGATTGGGTGATCAGGCTCACTGACTTGGTTGACACGTCACCGTATCCCAATTGCGTAGATTGATGCTCATGCTGTTGATCACTGGACTGTCTGGTCCAGACTCAATTATTTACAACCCACCGCCATATAGCTGGAATATTGTTGGGTGCAGCGTTAGACAATAAACAATAAACCAACCACTGACCAATCACAGGAGCCCCCCTCCGTGGTGTAGTGGTTAGAGCATCCGCCCGGAGAGTGGAAGGTCGCGGGTTCAATCCCCGGCCGCGTCATACCAAAAGACGTTAAAATATGGTACTGGTTGGTCCCTGCCTGGCGCTCGGCATTAATGGGTACAACAAGGACTGGTCGGCTCGGAGTCAGTATAATGTGTCTGAGTGGGGTATTCATGCTTCACTGCGGCATGGTATCTCAGTGGCCTCTCACTATAAAACCAGCTTAAGTCTGGGCTAGTACAAGCAGCTGCACATACACATACACACGCATGCACGTCGTCATATGAGTGAAATATTCTCAAGCACGACATAAAACCCAATTTCACCTCACCTCACCTCACCTCGCCAATCACAGGAATTGTCCAGGAAACACCCATCACAATGCCTCATGATAGGCATATTTCATTATTCAGACACCCTCATACAGGGGAGCTCTTGGTATATTCAATCAAATCAGAAGACTATTACGAATTAACTTTAAGGTCAGGAAGTGTATTCACTATAAAGACATGGATTTCTTTATGTTCATCTCAGGTCGTGACCCTAGCACTGATCTGCGTGGTGTAGGAATGCTGGGATTGTTGCAGCTTCTGTACTTCCTGCGTAACCCGAAAACTGCTGGCGCTCGCCCGGGACGTGTATAAACTGTCTCTTCATCCCACACAGGTTTGACTTGTTGTAATGAATCTTCTCGAAAAACACAAACAAAAAGCAAAATTTGTCTTGATTTTGAAAATGATTTTAATTAATATATACATTCATCATGGCCTGATGAATATAATAATTAATTATGAGAGTTAAACTGTGTGGTGCTGTTCAAATAGAGACAATTTCATTCATGATTGCCGTTTCACTTTTCCATGGCTGATAGTATTTAAAAGTCAATAGGCTTTAATAGCCATAATGGTATCTAAACAGGAACAGCACAAACACTTACTGCACATGCATACAACAGTACAAGGTATGACAGCAAAGAAGGGGTCGTCTCATAATACATTTTGTCACAGTCTGACTCACTCATTGTTGAAGTCCATCATGTGACCAGTATCTCGACTCTATCTCATTGTTGACTTTGGTAGCATAACGCTGCCATGTCAACACTATTACCTGACCAAAGGATTCATATGTTAGCTTTTTACATCCCAATGATGTTTGTGCTCAATCATCTGACATCACGTTTATAGATATCCCATATGAACTCAATTGGGTTTAGATCACAATTGTATGGGGGAAGTTCTTATTTGGAGACAAACAGACTGCATAATTGGTGTGATGAATTCCCTACTGCACTGTTCTGATGTATGTACTTGTGTTGTGTTCAGAACTTCCCGTTCTGTGTGATGGGCATCAACATGTCCAGGATATGTATCCAGTCACTACGGGAGGCGCTTCTCAACAAGTGAGTAATAGACTTAACATTAGCATCTTCTACATCAAGGGTGGAAGTCTGCATCTGTGCCGTGATCCAGATGTAACAGAAACGTTTTGGGGTCTTAATTACATTACCTATAACTGCAAATAAATGCCGAAATTCCCCAGGTCCTCTTTGCTAAGAATTCCAAAATGTTGTATTATCGGCTTTCTAGAAGTTAATGAGTCAATAGCAATGCATATAACTTTATGGATAACAACTTCGCTCTATATAGTAAACAAGAAGCTGTTATCCATACAGTTGTATGCTTCATTATCGTATGCTTTGTTAATTAATAATTTTCCCTGATTATGATCCTCGATTTGTCAGTACTATTTTCAGGCGTGCAGGTTTTGTCATGGCAGCTAATATGACTTGCATCATGATGTCCTACTTCCAAATGACACTGAAATGCAAACAGTGTGACCCCCAACTGACTCCCACAAGAATTTATCACTAGCTATTTTCTCTGCTTTTGATCAGGGAGTGCAATAGGAGAAGGCAAGTGATGGAAGTCGTGAATGAGTTCTATGTTGGGACGTACTTGCACCTTTATCAGATCTGGCGGAAGGGGAAGTCTATCTCCGACTCAGGGCATGTCATTAAGGGTAAGATTCGCAATAGAGGTACAATTTCGGGAAAATCTTTTTTTTAAACATCGTTACTTTATATGAGTTAATATCCTCTGACCGCCTCCGTGGTGTAGTGGTTAGAGCGTCTGCCCGGAGAGCGGAAGGTCGCGGGTTCGATCCCCGACCGCGTCATACCAAAAACACGTTAAAATATGGTACTGGTTGGTCCCTGCCCGATGCTCGGCATTAATGGGTACAACAAGGACTGGTCGATTCGGAGTCAGTATAATGTGTCTGAGTGGGGTATTCGTGCTTCACTGCGGCATGGTATCTCAGTGGGCTAGCACTATAAAACCAGCTTCAGTCTGGGCTAGTACAAGCAGCCTCACATACGCATACACACGCATGCACATCGGCATATGAGCGAAATATTCTCAAGCACGACGTAAAACCCAATTTCACCTCACCTAATATCCTCTGAAGCAAGTGAATATGTTTTAAAATGATTTGTTTACTTTGAAAGTCAAGGTCAATAATTTTAATGTCAGCACTCAATTTTCTTAAATTCACCAAAAATTCAAATGTTAGATTCACTTGGCAAGAAACATTTGAACTCCTAGTCACAGCTTACAGTTGAATGAATGACATTTGTGGAACGTCTAGACACCATTATTTAAACAGGCTACCATCAAAGAATTGAACATCAGTGTCTTTTGAATAATTTATGTAAAGAAAACAAAATAGTAGGACTCATTTGTGATTAGGTGGTATGAGAAACATATCATGAACATGATAAAGTTAACATAACTTGTTTAAATGCTTTGTTTTGGGTTTAATATATATCCATGAACAATGAATCTTTAATCAAATTTAAGTTCTACTGACATGACTGGTGACATAAATAAAAACAATGTCAACTTCTGAACATGACATTATCATGATTATACAACTTCAATTTGCTGAAGATCATTCTCACATTCTTGTAACTGTTTAGTTTTTGCATCCTCACCCATCACTGAATAAAAGTAAACTTCTGTACTGTTTTTCTCTGGTGTGTTTTGCAGTCTGTTTGCTATGTGACACTATATATTTTTTGCAGGTATTAATGATCTCTCTGTGTATATTCAATGAAAGAGAGTAACTTAAAGTTGAAACAGTCGTTAGGTGGCTGTATGTGTTCTGGAAACTTCATTGTGCTACATACATTGCAGTGTTTACATTCAAACTTTATAAGCTCTAGTTACTTCATATCATGTGATCAGTGTTTGTTAGTCATTGATACCTTTGCTGTGCATTGTTATGTTATGTTCAGTTTTCTGAAAGGATATTTACCAAATCATTTCTAAGTGGATAAGTAAGTCAAGTAACAGTAGTTCTTAACACCAAACAAATCATTAGATCTTTTTCATAGAGATCGTCCTTGGGGTACATATATGCATTTTCTGCAGCTGAAAATGTCATGTGACAGTTGTATCAATGTTTTAATAAAAATATTGTACAGTAAATAAAAATCTTTTTTATCTATTATACGACCCCCACCACGCTGAGTTACCTCCCTGCTACGCATGCGCAGCCAACCAGGTAAGCACCTAGGCCCGTATCATCATTCCTTCTGCTGTCACTCTAGCATTCACACGTATTTACCCAAGAGTTACTAGCTGATTTACTTCTTGTAGAAGAATGTCTGAGACTTCAACAACTGTATGTATGGTCTTTATTCATTTTGAGAAACGTTTTATGGACTTAGCAGTCTGTTATTTCTCATTTATGTGACTTTGTATTAAACTTTTACGCTAGCTTTCCCGTGGTTTACGCACATGTTGCTATTCCATGGCGGGAAGTTTAGCATGTCGAGTGGTTGAAATATTGCATTATTAACCAAGTATTTCATGTCGCATTGTGGCATTCACGTAATTTTCAATGTTTTGTACGTGTATATTTATGCTGTTGTATTATTCCGTTAGCTACATGCTTGCGTGTTTGCTTTCAGGCGTTTACGGGGTGTGCTGCCTGCGGGCAAAATATTCCCCGTTCTGATAAGCATGACAAATGCTTATGCTGCCTGGAGAAGGCAGGGCATAACCCTGACATCTGTGAGTTGTGCATGGGCTTCTCCCCCTGGGCCCAGAAGAGACGGGCGGCTGACTTCCTTTTTTTATAAGGAATTGTGTGAGGCAGGAGGGGACTTGACCCAGGAGGTTCCCCCGTCCAAGGCCAAAATGGCTACGCAAACTAAATCTAAGTCTACTTCGCATAGGTCGCCATCCATCCAGTGGTTTTGATATGTCCGTTATCACACAATTGTTTCAGCAGCATATGGACTCTGTAAAGTCCCTCGTTCACGAGTCTGTTGGAGGTCTCTGGCAGGAGTTCCTCGCCCACTCTGATTGGGGGGCCGAAAGTCTGGGGGTGGGATCGCTGAGCTCAGCTCGATCCCTTGGCCTAGAGGCGTCTGTCGATTCTTTGCCTTTGGCTTCGGGTCCGGACGCCTCGGCTGCCCCGGAGACTTGGGCTCGGGTGCCGAGTCTATGGAGGTTGTTCTGCTCCGCCAACTATCCGAAGTACAGGCCCACCTGACGCGAGACTCTTTATGGTCTGCCGCATCTATGGTGATGTGCGCAGTCATGGGGATGCGCAAGCTGTGGCTATCTACATCCCATTATTCGGCAGCAACACAGCAGACTTTGCTGGCCCTTCCGTTTCAGCAGGGAGTGACGTTGTTTCCGGGGGCCCAGCAGGTCATTCGGGAGGCTGCTGCAGAAGCTACTCTCCGCACACTCAGGTGCCGTCATGTCCGGTCAAAGCGGGTATACTGCGCGGCGAAGTTCAGGCTTTGCTGGACAAGTCCGCAATAGAGCGCATACCACCGGGCAAGGAACAGGCAGGGTTTTATTCCACATACTTCCTTGATCCGAAGAAGGACGGCGGGTTCCGTCCCATTCTCAACCTCAAGGGGTCGAATCGCATGTTAGAGTTCCATCCTTCAAGATGGAGACACTTCGCTCGGTGATCTCCTCTGTTCAGCCCGGTGATTGGCTTACGTCGATCGACCTAAAGGTTGCGTATCTACATGTGCCAATTCATTCCTCGTTCAAGCAGTACCATCGGTTGTCTTACGACGGGATGTGTTACCAATTCACGGTGCTCCCCTTCGGCATATCCACTGCCCCCAGGGTGTTCACCAAGCTCATGTTAGTGCCGGCTACCCACGCAAGGTCGCAAGGAAGGCGTTGTTACCCTTACCTCGACGACTGGTTGCTCAGCGCTCTAATTCATCAGCGTGCCTAGATTCTACCCACACGGTGATAGACATTCTAGTTCGACTGGGGTGGATCATAAACCTCAAGAAATCTGACCTGGTACCCACCCAGGACTTGGTTTCTCGGGGCGTGGTTCACAACTCAACAGGGTCTTGTCTCTTTGTCACCAGAGTACGGGAGATTGTGTCCTCGTACCTCTCCCGGCCCCAGGCACCAGCATGGACTTGGCTCCGTCTACTGGGTCATATGGCGGCAACTATCTCTGTCATGTGGCGGGCGCGGTTGAGGATGCGCCCTATACAGCAAGATTTGGCGAGTCTGTGGGCTCACTCGGAGGAACTGGAGAAGTGTCTCACAGTCCCCGGGTGGTTGTCTCCTCACCTTCAGTGGTGGACCAATGTAGGGAATCTCTCCAAGAGGGTCCCTTTGAAAATCCCGACGCCAGCTCTTACAGTTCAAACCGATGCGTCCCTCACGGGGGGTGGGGGGTGGTTTGCTGGGCAGTCTGTCGGTGTCCGAGGCCCACCTTCACATCAATATGTCTTAGAACTGAGAGCTGTGCGGTTGGTTTTCGAGCGCTTCTGGGAGCATGTTCGGGGCCAGGTGGTTCGTCTTCAGTTGGACAACCGTACGGCCATGACGTACATCCTGAAGCAAGGCGGCACGGTGTCCCTAGCGCTCTTTCGGGAGACGTGGGAATTTCTCCTCTGGTGCGACCAGTACGACTGTCAGGTGCTTCCTGTTTATCTCCTGGGGCTGGAGAACATGCGAGCAGACGCTCTCTCTCGCCGGATCCTGGCCCTGCACGAGTGGATGCTCGACTGGCAGATATTCGGAGTTATCTCCCAGTTGTACGGATCATTCCAGGTGGATCTGTTTGCGTCCGGCGGGACGAATCAGATACCCGTGTTCTGCTCTTGAATGCCAGACCAGAGGGCGTTGGCTTCCGACGCCTTCCTGCTGGATTGGACGGGCAAGGTCCTCTCCCAGCTGTTCACCCAGCCAGCTCGGCTACTTGTGCTACTGGCACCGCTATAGCCGTCACAGAGCTGGTTTCCGGTAATTCTCAGGTTTCTGGCTCAGCCTCCTGATCTATTACCTTTGCGACCGGATATTCTCCCTCAGAACGGCGCGCCATACCCCAATCCAAGGATTCAGTGGGTGGCTTGGCCTCTGTCAGGTCTAGCCTCGAAGCACACGGAATTCCTGCAGCAGTTGCAGACACAATTCTGGCTTCGTGGCGGGATTCGACAAACGTTCAATATGAGGATAGGTGGTCCCGCTATGCGGGCTGGTGTTCAGATGGGGGGATTGCAGATCCCTTTTCTGCGGATTAAGTCCGAGTATTGGAGTTTTTGCAAGCTCGTTTGGAAGAAGGCTTGGCGGCTTCAACCATTCGTGGCTACTCCGACGCTATTTCCACTTTCCACACCCCTGTCGATGGTGCTCTTCTGGGTCAGCACGCTCTTATGCAGCGCTTTTTAGCTGGCGAGGATCGGCTTCGACCTGCTGTAAGGCGAACCAGCCCACCTTTGGGATTTGTCAATCGTGCTAGATTGGCTGTCCGGTCCTACGTTCTCACGTCTATCAGCTATTTGCATTCAGCTGTTAACATGGAAGGCCGTATTTCTGGTGGCGGTAACATCTGGGCGAAGGGTCGGCGACTTACATGCTATGTCGGCAGACCCGGCGCTGACTGTGTTCCATCCATCATCACATCAGTATTCGCCTCCCGGATACTTACCGTCCGAAGATCAATCACGCGTACCATGTGAAAGCTCCTATCAAACTTCCTACTCTTACCCAGCCTTCCACTTCGGGGACCTCTGCAACGAGCACTCACCCGTTGGATGTCCGTAAGACCCTCAAGTTCTATATCAAACGAACACAAGGTATCTGTACGGGTACCCATCTGTTCTGCTGTTATGGTGGGAAGGCTGGCATGCTGGCTAGCAAACAGACCCTATCTCGCTGGCTTGTATCGGTCATTTGTGCTGCTTATCAGGCTATGGGCAAGCTTCCCCCTGAGGTTTTGAAGGCTCACTCGGTCAGGGCAGTGGCCACTTCAAAGACTTTTGCATCGGCACTGCCCATTGAAGAGATATGCTCTGTCGCTATTTGGAGCAGGCCTAGCACTTTTATCAGGCACTATCAGCTCTGACCCTGACCGAGTCTTGGTTATTTGGACAGATGACACTGCTTTCAATTGTGTATAATTGATATATCCACTGTTATCATATAGCTTCAGGACATGTGACAGGTGAGTGTTGTGGCGTCTGTTACATTCTTCCTAACGATCGCTATTTATGTGTACTTTGACAGAATTACCTCCTCCCTAGCCTCCGGTCTTTGGGAGTCTGCGTTAATGCATATATGTACCCCAAGGATGATCTCTATGAAACAGACTTAGCTAAACCTGTAGAGGTTTCCAATTCTTTGAAGAGAATCGTCCTTGGGGTAGGGCCACCCACCTCCCGCAATTCTGTTCATTGATTTATTCAGCAGAAGAAATGATGATACGGGCCTTGGTGCTTACCTGGTTGGCTGCGCATGCGTAGCGGGAGGTAACTCCACGTGGTGTGGGCCGTATAATAGATAAAAAAGATTTTTATTTATTGTACAATATTTTTATTTAAACATTGATACAACTGTCACATGACATTTTCAGCTGCAGAAAATGCAGATATGTACCCCAAGGATGATTCTCTTCAAAGAATTGGAAACCTCTACAGGTTTAGCTAAAAAGAATTTAAACCTTCTCCATATGAATGTTTTTTCTAAGAGACTTTGTGATTTTTTGCGAATTTGTATTTTTGTAGAAGTTGAAGGCCTTGCCAAGAAGAATACAAAGGGTGTGTTTAAGAACCTGGAAGAATATTTAAAGAAGAAGCCATCAGCTGATGTAGCTGTGGAAGACAGCAGAGAGGAGTTCCTCAGTGTGTGCAAGGTAGAGGCTGATGATTGAGAAGTGAGGGGTACCTGGGGTTCCCCTGGGTGGATGAGTGGGTGGCTGCTGGCATGATGGGGTGTTGTACTTAAGGTGAAGCAACTAAGGGAAGAACTCCTCAGTGTGTGTAGGAAGATGAATGAAGGGGTGTGTGAGAGGGTCAGATATATTACCACATCATTAATGGAGGAAAAGTTTCTCAGTGTGATTATTGTAAATGTTTACACTTTGTATTTTTAAATACAGACGTCTTAAATATAGAAGAAGTAAAATTTAAAGAAGATTGTTTGAAAAACATATATAATGTCAAATGCCTACCTTTGTTATAATTTGTTCAAGTTTATTGTTATGTATGATGCAAGTAGTCTTTGATCAACAACAGATGGAAAGATTATTACGTTCATATTGAATGTTTTTCTTTGTGTATTAACTTTGTTTGTTCCTTTTGGTATATTATTGTATTTAAAACTGAAATCATGGTAGCAATGTCCTCTACAAAACAGACATGGCAAGGGACACACTGTGTATGTGTTAGGCACCTGACAAGGTTCTGGGGCAGAACACTTTACTGTTCATTGACAAAATTCTAGAGGACCATTTGTGTAATTCATGTTTCCGTCCAGTAGATGTGATTCTGTATGTTTTGAAGGATGTGCTGTAGCCGATGTTCTTATGGAGGAATGAATATCATAGTTACTAAAGATTGTATCAATGCATACTGTAGTTGTGTTGTATGTCATGTGGATGTTGTACGTATTGGGGATGATTCAGTGGAACTGTGATTCTGGGTGATATGCATTTATGTTGTGATGTTTTTATCTGGGAGATGAGGGGGTGTCATGGTGCCCTTGCCATCAGTTGTAGAATATAGAACAGTCTGATGCTCTGGAGGCAAAGAGTACATACAGTGTTTCCTGTACCAAAGATGATATTTCCTGCCAATATGTTTATACAGAGAGCATCTATATCTTCATCATCAGACCTCAACAATTTTTTATTTTCAACTTCCCCAGTGTCATTAAAACTAATCTCAAAAGGAATACAGTTGAAGGAATATTTGTGTTGTGTTTGGTAATTCATGTCCACAGAGAGAATTATCAGCCTTGAGGTGATATATGAAAGAGCATCATTTTGAAAGCTGACATTAAACTGGCTCCTAAACCCATCCTTCATTCAGACTGGGTGGTCAGAAGACTCTTAGACGCATTGGCTAATTAGAAAGTTCACCTTACGCGACCTGATATAAATGTGTCCATAGATCTTGATGGGGAGGTCTTGTATCAAAGTACAAGATCTGAACAAGGAACCTGCCTGAAAACCTATGTCCAACTCAGGTGATATATTGACTGTAATGGCTTTGTGATATGTTATTATGGACCTGTTCAAACTCCCCTGGTGATAAGATATGTGTCATAATTATGCTTTTATATGCAAACATATTGTCTCATCAGACTAGCTGATATTTATGTACAACAGCTCTGTTACCATATAAAACTTTGGACAAGTATTGTTGGTATTGTGTATTAAAGCATTGTAAGGGCATAATGTTTTTTCCTCATACAGATTAACACAGTTTGGATGGCCAAAACCAGGAGAGGCATGTTTTGTGTACTATAAACATTTATTTATATATGGCAAAAAAGGACACAGATCTTGAAAAACATGTTAAAATAATATTATAGCTCCATATTTTAGGGCTGTCCAAGTGTATTTTTCATATGTCCATTTAGCTTTCAAATATTATCATTTCAGTGGGCGAAATTAAATCTTTTGTGATACATGATAGAAATAAATTCCATTTTAATTTAAATTTGTAAGGTTGTAAGATTTAAAAAATTTGTGAAATTACTTCCAACATGTTCAATGAAATGTTCCAAGAAAACTTAACAGGCTGCTTAAAAGATTAGTTACTACTGTTTAATATGTGAAATTGTGTTTGTTTCCCACCACTGGTATGTAAATTATCATCATGTAAAATTTAAAAACATTATTTTGTTGTTTAGATGAAAAAATTCATCCCATAGACATTACATAAAAAGTCAGTGTTTGATGTCAATACTACTCGTTAATATCGGACAAGCCAACATCATGTGATGCTGTATCTACCAGAGACAAAGGCTAGTTATGCACCAGTGGAGGAGTGAGTGAGGCAGTGTATGAAATATACCCCAAAACCAGGCATCAGGGCTGGTAACTTCAAAATGTCACCAGCCCAAAGAATATTACTCAGATGTATGGGACAAGTTATCTAAAATTTTGACCATTGGGAGGGCTAGCTGTAAATTTAGACCGTCCATCAGAAATCTAGCCTGTCTCGGGTGGTCGGACAGGCCTTATTTCATGCACTGAGTGAGGTTGTTTTTTCCACTTTGAACAGTATCTCAGTGACTTCACAGACTGTCAGCTGGATGGTGGAAAGATTTAAGTGATGTAGGGCTGTTCACCCATGTTCAACCACTTCGAGATTGCCTCCCACTTCAAATTGACATAGCATAATATACTACTCACACTTTGCTAAGGATCACAAGAATTCACAACTTTACTTAAACATAGATTTATATTTTGAAATGGTATCCATTTGAAACAGGATAAATAATAATATGGTAACCCCTCTTTAGGCACACAGTCACTTTAATCTAACCTTATGCACTTGATACATGAGTAACCATAAAAATGGTTTTCATGGCACCATTTTGCAAATCATGGAACGAGTCATTGACAAGTACACAACACCTGTCAATATCAGGTATGGGATCCACAAGATGAAATGTCAAACTGATAGCTAGGATCCATGCTTACAATAAGCTTAGATACTTAAACCAAATGTGACCCCAGATCATACTTTTCTGTTGAATCCATGATTTGATCCTTAGCAAAGTGTGAATAGTATATAACTGAAATAGAGTTCAAAGCAATGTTAAACCACAGACTCACAAGGAAACAAAACAATATGTAATCACCAACTTCCGATGGCTGAGAGTATTTTGTTTGTTATTAAACATCATTGCAAAAATGATTCACAATAGGGTGTCCTACACCCTATATTCAAATTAACAATAAAAAGCCTACAGCTTTAAAAGAGGAAAAGCAATACGCAGAGTCACTTCTGTTTCTCAAATACCTTAACAGTAAGATACATCATGTGATCAGTTTTATGAAACAGAAGAGCTGCGTACCTTTTTCAAAGAAGGTATCAAATTTGTTCATGCTGGTAAATAGGATAGGAACTGTTTGATTTGCAAGTTAGAAGTTGTTAAGTAACTGTTGGGGCAAGATACTTTCATGGATGACAGCTTCTTTATTCTGTTGTGATGTGACATTTCAATGAAGATCTTTATACTGTTGTCAAGCTTAGAATAAAGAAATTGTCATCTGTAAAAATATGTAGCCTTTACTTCTACATGGGTAGATAAGAAAACAATTCATATATTTGAAACAGTTATTTAGGAACTGTGGGAGATGAAGACATAAAAAGGCCAATGGAGGGCTGATTTTTTTCTACCAACAGTATGTCACTGGAATATTGATCGATAATGCTGCTGTTAATCCAGTGAAGTTGATGCATGCTATAGCCTTGGACTGATTGCTGATATACAGCAAACACAGGGTACTATTTAGTCATCATCACCAGTGTCTTGAAATGAAAGTTTTCCTTCACATAGACCTGTATATTCTGTTATCTGTTACTGTTGTTAGTTTGTTTCATAGTAAATGTTTGTACCATGTACTTTATGTGCACAGGCTGCACATTAATGTCGGCAAGTTTGTGTTACTGTTTAAATAAACTGTATATATCTCAGATGTGTATTTTGTATGTTAAACAGTTGATATATTGAAACTATCAAGGCTAAGAGTGGAGCTGGGATAAAGTATTGCCTCCTGATGCCATTGGTCTAAGTTGGACTCCCAACATGGGTACAAAGTGTGAGGTCCACTGTTTGTTACCAGTGATGTAATGAGGTTGGAACAATCATTTCATTGGCTGTATCGTCATTTGTCAGTCATTTAAGAGTGAGTGAGTGAGTTTAGTTTTACGCCGCACTCAGTATTATTCCAGCTATATGACGACAGTCTGTTAATAATATAATCTGGACCAGACAATCCAGTGATCAACAGCATAAGCATCGATCTGAGCAATTGGGATAGGATCGTGTCAACCAAGTCGGCGAGCCTGACCACCTGATCCCGTTAGTCACCTCTTGCGACAAGCATGGGTGACTGAAGATCAATGCTAACCGGGATCGTGATGGGTCCAGTTATTTAAGACACCACACCGCCCCATGAGATGATGTGTCCCTCAGACATGTCATGATTCTATGGCTGAATCTTTGGTGAGGTGAGGTGAGGTTTTACGTCGTGCTTGAGAATATTTCGCTCATATGACGACGTGCATGCATGTGTATGTGTAGGTGCGGCTGCTTGCACTAGCCCAGACTTAAGCTGGTTTTATAGTGCTAGCCCACTGAGATACCACGCCGCAGTGAAGCATCAATACCCCACTCAGACACATTATACTGACTCCGAGTCCTTGTACCCATTAATGCTGAGCGCCAGGCAGGACCAACAAGTACCATATTTTAACGTGTTTTTGGTATGACGCGGTCGGGGATCGAACCCGCGACCTTCCGCTCTCCGGGCGGACGCTCTAACCACTACATCACGTAGGCGGTCCTGAATCTTTAATACGTGTATATCAAGATTATCAGCCTGCCCCTCTGCCTCACCATTTGGTAAACATCCGAGACCTGAATCACTTGGTGTCAGCTAACTTGGAGAGGAGAACAATGAGTGGTACAGTCTCGGGTTCAAGAGCTTGCTTGTCAAGCCAAAGGTCTGGGTTTGATTCCCAACATGGGTACAACGTGGGAAACTTGATTCTAGTGTCCCTTATCATCATTTGATTGGTTGCTTGGTTTGTTGTTTAACGCTGCACTCAGCAATATTCCAGTCATATGGCGTCGGTCTAGAATTAATCCAGTCTGGACCAGACAATCCAGTGATCAACAGCATAACATCGATCTACGCAACTGGGAGACGTTGACATGGGTCAGCGAGCCGGACCACCCGATCTTGTCATCTTGTCGACTAATTCTTACCTGGATCTTCAAGGGTCCATAATTTTGAAGGAATATTACTTAAAAGTTATGAAAACCAAACCCTATCACTTAAATAGAACTGAAATATTGTTCAAAGCCAGGACCAGACCTGTATACTGATTTATGACACACTCGTTGGTCCCAGGACATCTTGCTTGTACCACGAACATTTCACTGAGCTGTAGGGTGCTGTAATGAAAACCTCATACAGTGTAAATATATCAATATATCAAATATTTGTTCAGTTGAAACTATTAATTTAGAATTATGTGCTCCTGGATAATTTGTTTCTAGTGTAGATGTACATTTATCGTGACCTATTTATATGACTGATATTCTTGAAGTTTATCTTCAACTATACAGCACAGGGAAGTAATCATGTGACCTAGGCAGCTGTGACTTTATCTGGGAACATTCATGACACCAGGAGAACACAACAGTTCACAATGAATCCTGTGAAGGTTAGTGAGTTATGTCAGTACTTTGAGGTGAACATGCAGGAGAAACCATCTGTCAGAAGCATGGGCGGGTTCAGGAATGTTTTATTTTTTATTTTATTTTATTTTATTTTATTTTATTTTATTTTATTTATTTATTTTTTTTTTTGGGGGCGCTTGTAATCCTGAACCCCCATTGGCTCCGCCAAAGCAAATTATAATTATCAATGTGGTCTTAAGTCATATTCAAAGGGTGGGGGTCGACCACCCCCACCCACCCTCTGGATCCGCCAATGAGAAGCAGTCATTGTCATTATTAAGTGATACTTTGTGAAAGATCTTTGGGCGCATTGACCTCTTATCATAACCAGTTCCAAACCCTTGTCACAGTAGCATGGTAACAAACATTTACCTGCTATCTCTACTACTCAAGCTCTTAACAAGAGCTGCCATGTAGCTGGAATATTGCTGAGTGTGGCGTAAAACTAAACTCACTCACCTACTTAATAAGAAAGAACTTCTTATGTACTCGATGTAGTCTCTCATATTCCCAGAAACACATTATTTTACCTTCCGCCAACCCTTTCTGCAGCACTAAATTAAGCAAGTCTAGGTTTGTTTTGTTTTTTTGGGGTTTTTTAAAAACATATTTTATTCATTCAAGAGAAGGATTGGGCACAAGTCATCCGTCTTAGAAAAGCCCTCTCCGGATAATTACACAATTCATCTTACAACAAAGTACACAAGTGGCAGACATAGTCTAGGATATGTACAACAGATGTTAACTGAGAAAGCGTTTTGTTTGAGAGATATAGATATGTACATATTTGAAAACATTCTGGTTTTCAGTGATTACCATGTAAGATAAGATTAATATCAATCAGTGTTCTATTTTTGACAATATCTTCTAAAGATTTTAACAGTTTATGTCTTTGAATAGTATACAATTGACATTCAAGGAAGTAATGAAAAACATTCTCACATCTATGGCCACATTGACATGATGCGTCATTTTTCACATTATTCTATATAAATCATGATTAAGTGTACTCGTCATATATCTTAATCTAGTGTGCATAACATTGAACTCCCTTATTCCATATGAATAATATATAGGTGCGCATTTTTCCTTCACGTGGATATAAGATTTAAACGATGGAACAGAGTCGCAATTTCTAATAGCTAAGGGAATATTATTCCACACTTTAACTTTTGATGGAATAAAAGATGACGTTGAGTACCTCAGTCTTGTATATGGTTGACTTGTCTGGTTGCCTACTGGGTGGGAGTAAATCCTGAAGAAAAACTGGTGTCAGACCTTTTTGAATGTTCTTCTCTCAGAAAGTAGATCCCATCCCATTTCATAATACAATGAACTGGAAGATGCATATCTTGGAAGACCAATAACTATGCGAGCTGCTTCAAGTTGAAGTTTTTCTAATCTATTAGATTGTTCAATCAAACATCCATCCCATACCTCGCATACCAGGTTCTGATTCCCCTCTCTCATTCGTTTTCAGTTTTAATGGAACTTTTACAAATTCTATCAAAATTATACATAATCAGAGACAGAAGGTGAATCTGTATCCGATGCGAAGAACCAAATCACAAAGTGTTGGTAAAGAGCTCATTTGGGATAGTTCTGTGGTCAAGGTCTCCCCAACTGCGATGAGTATGTTTGCCTTATAACCAACCTCGTTAGACTCACTGAAGTAAACGCCTACAAATGTATATATGTGGTGGGCAAGGGATTAATTTTAACATCTTCACGCAGAATCCATGGCTGCTGCATTTCATTGGATTAACTGCGCTCTTCCAAATCAGTAAGTAATCATTTATTATTTTGAACCTACAGGTTATATCTTATTGAATGATAGAACAACAGAACACTGATGCCATGGCCATTCCGGGTGACAAACGTTCTCCAGCAACATTTGGTGGATGTACGAGGTGGCAAACTGGATCAGGGTCCCGATCCCCAAAGAGTTCGTAAGTCTATGATAAACTATAGAGTTACGACAGGTCGTAGCGTTACGAACGCTTTGTGGATCGGGGCCCTGGGCCTTCTTTCACAAAGCACTAAGGTGATCGTAAGTCACCAAGGTAACCTTAGTGCAATGTTAAAGAATGGGAGTTAAGGTTAACCTTAGTAAAGGTTGCTTCGTGAAAGGAGCCCCTGGTGTCGAAGCAGAAAGCTTTCCATCGTAGCCCGCTATCTGAATCGTTGTCCTCAACAACAGTCATTTGATTGTCTCGTCAAGACTTGATTGTTGACAAGCCGCCGTCAATCAGCTGAAATATTGCTGAGTGCGTCCTGAGAATGTTGTGTCTACTGGTGTACCCCGTGTGGAATGTGAAACAGAGCATGTGCCAAGGACCTATGCTAAACCCGACTAGTATGAGACTCGAGCGTGTTAAACTGGCACTATTTAAAACTTGTATCTGCAGAAGTACAAAAAAGGAGCCCTCTCCCTCTCAAAACGTATTCATGTATCTAAAATGTGCTAGTTATTTTATCTTGTTTAGAATGCGCCATTGATTTGAAAAGGTTAATAATATAGGACAAAGGTTAAGTCGATCTTTTAATAACAGTTTTCGAGGCATGCATACATCTTTGCAGTTATGAAACTTCACATGTACGTATCATCAGAATTCCAACACCATGCGTCAAATGCATATATGTTGGTCAAACGTCAAGGTCATCTGTTATGTTATGGCGAACCATGGTTGTCTCATTTTCTCATATACTTTTTCACTTGGCTTGTACAATCCTGATACAAGATTAAATTCAAGGTCTGAAAGTAATATCTACCTGAATCCTTGATTTAATACGGTGATATGTCTGTAGGTCTGCGTCTGTTTTTTATTTATTATTTACATACACCTGTTTGTTAACTTGAAAACGAAAGGTAGGTAAATTATTATATTGACAGTATTGCCCTCGCTACACCAATGATGTGTACAAGAATTATATACCCTAGCGTTACGATCCCCAGTCAGTGCTATGTACAAAAAGAGTGTGATTTTACACCGCTTTTAGTATTATTCCAGCTATATCACCGCGGGGGGACACCAGAAATGTGCTTCACACATTGTACCCATAGGGGGTAGAACCCGGGTCTTCGGCCTAACAATCAGACTACCCCCCGCCGTCCCAGGTTTCATTGGTATAGGTTGGAGAGTGATTATTATTATTTATCAGTATTCCAGCTATCTCACCGTGGGGCCACTATAGACTGACTACATACATTGTACCAATATTTGTGGGGAATCGAAATCAATCCAATGACGCGACCTCCTGTAACAAAGGAAATGAGAACAGGAAGGAATGCTTGATACCCCTTCGTCAGTGCTCGGCGGTTTGGTTCCTGGAAATACAAGAACAAGAACATCCCGCAGTGGTGTCTCAAGTCACAAGAGTTACATCCCTTTGTCGTGTCAGGCCCTCGGCCTTGTCACTTAAATCCCGTACTCAGCTGACATGGCAGGGCTGTACACGAAGGCTTAAACCAATTCACTCTCCATAGATTTGGTTATATTAAAATACAAAGTAAAAATTATCATCAATGGTTGGTATAAAGACCACGAAATGCTTTAAACCTCATGGCTCCGTTTAGTTTTCGCCGCCTTGAGCAATATTTCACCAATATCACGCCTGGGAAGACTGGACATGGGCTTCACACATTGTACCCATGTGGGGTATCGAACCCGTGTCTTCGGCGTAACGAATTAACACTTTAACAACTAGGCTTCCCAATCGGCTCGCTCCAACGACGAATTGGCAACAATCATGCATTGGAGAGCAATGGTAACGGTAGTAAACTAGGGAGTATTTTGGGATGTAGTCAACGGTATATATACTCATCTCATGGAAACAAATAAGGGAACACATGAAAGTACAAGTATTACTTTATTTATTTCCAGAATTTCACCCACAGTGCAATGCAAACATTGTGAAGAAAGCTGGATAAGAATAAAGGAACACTTGTACTTTCATGTGTTCCCTTATTTGTTTCCATGAGTATATCATCAAATTCTGGACATATGATAGAAAGGATAATCTAAGATGGAGATTACTTATTACAGAAATACGTGTTAGCGCTCATTCTTTGATACATGTTGGTTTCAGCTGACACTACGTGGTGCTACGTCTGTGACATCCCAAGTTCTGGCGACACCGCCTGTCCGTCCATAATCAAGTGCCCCGATCACCAGGTAGTCTTTCAATCAAGTGAGTGAGTGAGTTTAGATTTACACCGCTTTTAGCAATATTCCAGCAATATCACGGCGGGGGGACACCAGAAATGGGCTTCACACATTGCACCCATGTTGGGAATCGAACCCGGGTCTTCGGCGTGACGAGCGAACGCTTTAACCACTAGGCTACCACACCGCCCCCTAGTCTTTAACTGGAACGATAAGGCTCTCAACACGGCGCTCTGTGTACTTCTAAAGCTACTGCCACTTTTACCTGTCGTACCTAGGTATCCTGCTGTCCCAAAACATTAAACCAAGGCCACCTTTGATTCTGTGTTCAAATCCCGGTTAGCCCTGATTACAGGTATGTTTCGAAGTTTGTCAGGAGCTTTGTTGTGATAGACCTGTATTGCTATGGGATTTCCTCCCAAATTGAAACATCACATAACTGAGATAAAGTTCATGGCAGGGGCGGTGGTAGGCCTGTCACGCTGAAGACCCGGGTTCGATTCCCCACATGGGGACAATGTGTGAAGCCCATTTCTGGTGTCCACCGCCGTGATATTGCTGGAATATTGCTAAAAGCGGCGTAAAACCATACTCACTCACTCACTGTTCATAGCAGCGTTAAACGCGACTAAGTTACTCGACTTGAGGGGCAGTGGGGTAGCCTAATGGTTAAACCATTCGCTTTTCACGCTGAAGGCCCTAGTTCGATATGTGTACAACGTGTGGAGCCCATTTCTGGTATCCACTGTCGTAATATTGCTGGAATATTGCTAAAAGTGGCGTAAAACCCAAATCATTCATTTATTCAGCTAAAATGTGTAATTAGGCTCTAAAATATATATTTGTATTTTTTCGACGTGAGCCATCCAGTTACATGCACAATAGTCTGCTGATTATCTGCATATGAATATGGCGTTAAATTAAAACAAATTCGGGTTTAGGTATACATGTTACCAATATCTACAATGCCATATTTCATGGTTAAACTGCAGTGTATCTCACAGTCTAAGTAAACTTAGATTCAGTATTATTCGTTACACTGCTATTAAGCAGTGTAACAAATAATACTGAGCCTAAGTTTACTTAGACTGGTGTATGTAAAAAACTGAACTGAACAGTGTGTTGACTGATCAGCTTGACTGATTGTTGAACAGGGATTATTGTGAAGACAAGATTAGCATGGGTTTCGTTCTGTTTGAATAAATATGTGGCGAATATCTAACAAATTCATTAATTGAAGCACTAATTAATCAGGCAATGTACAAAATGCGTGGAAATTTTCGACAATGTACACACTCACTGAGGGAATCAGGCAATGTACACTGTGACTGATGAAGGGACCTGGAATGGTCTCGAAACGTTGTGAGAGAAATTAAAAAAAGAAGTTTAATCCATAAAAAATATCTTGGACATCAATGTACAACTTCTAAATGCCACTGAAAGACATCATACACATTGACTGGTTATTTCAGTCATTGTACACATTGCCTGATTGTAGACATTGACTGTAACATATATATACATCACAAACCACAGTATTGTCTACACGCTGTATAGCCTATATTATTGTTAAGGTATTATTGTCTTTTTACAGATGTGCTATCTTCAGAAATACATTACCGTTAAAGGTCAGACAGGCTACCGATCTGGTTGTCAGAACAAGACAGTAAGTTGTACTGATTTCTCCAATGGGACAGTTGGGTCGAATAATGGTTAAAGCGCTCGCTCGTCACCCCGAAGACCCGGGTTCGATGCCCCACATTGTGTATAATTTGTGAAGCCCGTTTCTGGTGTCCCCTGTCTTGATGTTGCTGATATATTGCTAAAAACCGCGTTAAACAACAAACAAAAGTTCGACATTATGCTTCTAGGTCTGTCAGTATTTATCTGTGCTCGTAGGTGGTAATGTCGAAAACATGACTCCTTTTGACCTTTCCATATTTAGCTGACACGACGCAGTAGACCAGAAATATTGTTCAGCCTGGCGTAAATCAAATTCACTCACTCACACATTGCCCTACTGACCATTCCCACTCCGCCTCGTCCTCAGGGATGTCCACGTATCCACGTCGTCATGGTTACCATGACACGTCAATCTGACACGACGCCTTGGAACAGAAATAATGTTCAGAGCGACGCACTAGAACAGAAATAATGCTCAGAGCGGCGTAATATAATACTCAGCTTACAATTTGCTTTACCCTTTTCTGTCTCATCTAAAAAATAATGATTCCTCTAACTTAATCGATAAATTACAAAGATGATGTCTTAAAATATTGAAAATTGTTAGTATTGAGATATTAAATTATGTACTTTGCTTCCAGATATGCAATTCCTATTCCAAACGGAAGGCCACCGTCGGTGTTGACCCTGTTGTCTGTGAAGCCTGCTGTGATCACGACAGATGCAACAGTCGTCTCTGCGGCGACAAATGTGAGGGGATCACATGCATAACTAGCCGACTTTCTTGTCAGCAATGATAATATTTTGAAGTGAATTTTAAAATATACATACTAAGTGTGACCATTCGTTCCAAGATTAGCAATTGTCGAAGATACTGCGTTTAATAGAGTAATAGGGCATTACGAACAGATATAACGAATGTTTTGGACACTTGCTCTATATTTTAGTCGAAACGAAACGAAAAAGCTCTGAGATTTTATGTCAATAACTTTACTCGAAGTTCCTGAAAATGAATATCCTGTATCCCGAACTCAGACCCTTTGTAACACACAGTAACACAGACACTTTGTATCACAGATCCTTTGTAACTCAGATCTTTTGTAACAGAGACCCTTTGTAACTCAGACCCTTTTTAACACAGACCCTCTGTAACTCAGACCCTTTGTAACACAGACCCTTTGTAACTCAGACCCTTTGTAACACAGACCTTTTGTAACACAGACCCTTTGTAATGGGTGATGCAATTTGAAATTATTATTTCAATGTAGTTTATTTTTGCACAGAATGGAATGATGCTGTCATTATCAATCTTCAGAAAGCCTTCTCTCACCCAATTATATACTTTCTAGGATGAAACAGCATAAATATTTATTTCTGTGTCAAGTATCCATCATTACATATACTAGCTCGCAAACTGATGTTGATACAAAACAAATGTAAACAAATATCACATGACTTATTTAACCAATTATTTATTCCCAGCAAATCTATTTCCAACTACGGTGTGTTACGCATGCCCTGCGACCTCTGACCCCACGCAGTGTAAGGCAGCCAGTCATTGTGGACGATACGATGTACGTACATATTAGCGACACCTCACAGTCACGACATCTGCGACACCTCACAGTCACGACATCTGCCACCCCTCACAGTCACGACATCTGCGACACCTCACAGTCACGACATCTGCGACACCTCACAGTCACGACATCTGCCACACCTCACAGTCACGACATCTGCGACACCTCACAGTCACGACATCTGCGACACCTCACAGTCACGACATCTGCCACCCCTCACAGTCACGACATCTGCGACACCTCACAGTCACGACATCTGCGACACCTCACAGTCACGACATCTGCCACCCCTCACAGTCACGACATCTGCGACACCTCACAGTCACGACATCTGCGACACCTCACAGTCACGACATCTGCGACACCTCACAGTCACGACATCTGCGACACCTCACAGTCACGTCATCTGCCACCCCTCACAGTCACGACATCTGCGACACCTCTCACGACATCTGCGACACCTCACAGTCACGACATCTGCGACACCTCACAGTCACGACATCTGCGACACCTCACAGTCACGACATCTGCCACACCTCACAGTCACGACATCTGCCACACCTCACAGTCACGACATCTGCCACACCTCACAGTCACGACATCTGCGACACCTCACAGTCACGACATCTGCCACACCTCACAGTCACGACATCTGCGACACCTCACAGTCACGACATCTGCCACCCCTCACAGTCACGACATCTGCGACACCTCACAGTCACGACATCTGCGACACCTCACAGTCACGACATCTGCCACCCCTCACAGTCACGACATCTGCGACACCTTACAGTCACGACATCTGCGACACCTCACAGTCACGACATCTGCGACACCTCACAGTCACGACATCTGCGACACCTCACAGTCACGACATCTGCGACACCTCACAGTCACGACATCTGCCACACCTCACAGTCACGACATCTGCCACACCTCACAGTCACGACATCTGCGACACCTCACAGTCACGACATCTGCCACACCTCACAGTCACGACATCTGCGATACCTCACAGTCACGACATCTACTTCGCACCCGGGGGAATCCCAACAACTAACAGGATAATCTCGTCTTTACTTCGACGAAACTATGGAATCCTGGAAGGGACATTGTCGCGTTGTCGCATTGTCGCGTTGTCGCCCTCTCAAATACAAGCAAAATGAGGCAAAACTAACCAAAACGCGACACGCTACATTTTGCCCATTTGTCGCATTGTCGCGATGTCGCGTGTCGCATTTTGGTTTATTTTGCCTCATTTTATTTGTTTTTGAGAGGGCGACAATGCGACAACGCGACAATGTCCCTTCTCGGATTCCATACGAAACAGATACAATTATACTGGGCTTTGGTACCTGATACAATAGATTGTTCTCCTATACGGATTATATCTGTTGACCCTACAAATAACGAATGTACAAAGATAGTCGAATTGAGGGTCTGATTTTTCAAATAAATAAGTAAGATCGTTTCCTGCCACACCTTATAAGGTGTTCGACACTTTGCACAATTTCACAAAATCACAGACTTGAAAATACGAGAATCGTACATTTTACATATTTATTATGTATTAACGGAAGACCACATGAGTACAATGTGTGAAGCCCAGTTCTGGTGTCTCCGTCGTGATATTACAGCTATAATGTTGAAAACGGCGTAAAACACATTCCTTCACCGTGGCATATCATATATACTTTAAACAAAAATGGTATTCAAAAGAATTGAATTAAACTGGCAACGACTACAAACTGGCCACCCTTTAAAACGACTGTTCTGTAAAGATTCGCTTCCCATACCATCATGATGTTATATTTACATAGCAAACTCCCGATAACCGTATAAGACGATATATGCGGGTTCGTCAGAATTCGCATCTACGCTATGCTCTAAAATATCTTTGATTCAAGGTGCCGAAGTACATGTAACTCGACATGATTAAATGTTGATATTCCAAGGACTTAACGAGAGTAAACAAACCATTTACAGACACCCAGATACTTTTGACAGCTCACTCGAACCTCAAGGATTATTCTATAATTAAGACCCTGTATGACCGGGTTTCTGTTTGTTGGATTTGAGAGTTTTTAATGTTATACCAGTATGTCCGTTGAACAGAACTTGTCATGAGTAACACACACCGTCCAAAGACGCAAGATTGTTGACTAATGAATATGTTCTCTTTCAGAAATGTGTCGAATACAGCTACCATGTTCCTCAAACTAACCAAATCATGTACTACCAGGGGTGTTCAACAAAACAGGTCTGTAAACAATTATGTTTCCGATAACGTTTAGTGTTTGTTTCTTTCTAGTTGAACACCACACACACGCCAATATTGCAATTATAAGATGTCGGTCTGGACATAATAGTCAAATCGAACAATCGAATGATGGACTTTATGAGCATAGTTTTGCACAACTGGAATAGCTAGAGAGTGAGTTTAGTTTTACGCCGCTTTTAACACTATTCTAGCAATATCACGGCGGGGGACACCAGAAATGTGCCTCACACAATGTACGAACGCGGGGAATCGAACCCGGGTCTTCGGCGTGGCGAGCGAACGCTTAACCTCAAGGCTACCCCACCACCCGCAAATTGAATAAGATAACGTGCATCAACAAAGTCACCAAGCTTCACCACCTGATCGACCGCCTCCGCGATGTAGTGGTTAGAGCGTCCGCCCGGAGTGCGGAAGGTCGCGGGTTCGATCCCCGACCGCGTCATACCAAAAGACGTTAAAATATGGTACTTGTTGGTCCCTGCCTGACGCTCGGCATTAATGGGTACATCAAGGACTGGTCGGCTCGGAGTCAGTATAATGTGTCTGAGTGGGGTATTCATGCTTCACTGCGCCATGGTATCTCAATGGGCTAGCACTATAAAACCGGCTTCAGTCTGGGCTAGTACAAGCAGCCGCACATACACATACACACACACGCATGCACGTCGAAATATTCTCAAGCACGACGTTAAACCCAATTTCACCTCACCTCACCTCAACACCCGATCATGGTAGTCGATAAAATGGATAGTTCAAGTAACCCGGTCCTTGCGTGTCATTCACCAGTTAGCGCCAGTATTTAGGCGTATTCACGTTAAAACGTTACTTGCCATATATCACGGTATGTATCGTATCGTTTCTGAGCGCCATGACATCTACACGCAGGAGGGTATATTATCAAGGGAATATTTGTCATGTAATTTTTCTGATTATGCCTCAATGTACTCGACAGACTTGGCACGTTATCATGTTATAAACCACTGTTTGTACCTCAGACTAATCCAATTAAATAAATTACTGGACAGTACCACTCAGTGTTAAATATTTCAGAATCTGGCCTAAAGAAGTAAAATAACCTAGGAAGTATATACATGCATATAGCTAAGGCTGCATAAAAAGTGTTTCCCTGACGCAATATCGTCAGAAGTTATCACTGAGCATCGGAATTTATTTATTATGGAAAACTGTGATGAGGGGGCATATGATTGTTTTGGGTTTTTTTTCACAAGAACGACAACAGATACACAGCTTGGCGCCCATGGAATGGAATGTGCTTAACACCCACATAGACCAAGGCATTTGACTACACAGGTTTTATACCCACCCAGTCCAGACTCCAGTTGTTCTTTTTTGGTTACAGCGTTGCGATGCGCTTGCTCTGTCAGCATCTACCCCCCACCAAGGCGGGTTCCTGTTTCAACACCAGGCTTGGTACAACACTACGTGCTGCGACGGCTATATGTGTAATGATGGCACGGCACTGATGGCGACAGCAACAGCGACACCGTCAACGTCAACCTAAACACGCGAACATGATGTTACCTCTGTCTTCACGTCACTCAGCCTCGTTGTTGTTTTTAGCATTTACGTTTTGAGTTGTTTTAAATTAACCCTTAACAGTATACATAAACTGAAACAATGGAGATGAGTATTTCGTGTCTGAATTAACGATGTCAGATGTATTGGGTTACACACAAAAAAAAGAAAAAAAAAGATTGACCTCACTCTCCTGCGCTCATGTGTATTAAGGTAGTGTTAGTTATGACATTCTGTTTAATAATCTTCCTTCCCCTGGATGAAGTCGGCTGGTCTTAAATGTGAAACTGGGGGCTTTCTTTTTGCTGTCACCTAATCACCTAAATGTGATTTTTAAAGAAAGTATTAACATGAAACGATTATGTAATGAATTTACAGAGACTGTCAAACAGCTTGTGAGTGGATGCCCTTCCTTGGCACAAACAGCATATCTTAACGACATGATGGCATGGCTAGTTGCTTCTACTACTGTCATCGCCATGCCTGTGGCTTTGAGACTCCGAGGTCTATCCATGGTATGACCCTGAACATGTCCAGGGCGTCATGGAAAATGACAGCTTTAAACTTCTTAGAATAGGCCCACATACAGCCTCAAAAGAATTCCAGTCAACAGACTTGATCTTGTCCTTTGCATAAAGCCAATGAATTTATTTTTATCATTGAATTTTCTGTCCCTTTTGACAGCAACGTGATTGGCTAGATTCAGGAAAAGCATGTTAAATATGCAGACCTCGCTTTTGAAATGTCTTGCTTGCATCCCATGTACACTTTCGTCGGGTTCTCCACCGGGAGCACAGCACTTCTGACACTCTGGGTAATGCAAAAGCTTGCAGTGTTGTGGGAGCCTTCATGTTCTCCGGAAAATTCTTGGCGGGTTCGACTAGACAGCCCTTCCTGGGAGAAGTCCCACTCGCTGTCTGGGCTGCGTGCAGAGGGAGGCAAAGGCCCTGAGCTGATAATGAGCTTTACCAGCCTGACTGTGCCAGGATCACCCGAAATCTCTCCCCCTGCATTTTCATCTTAATTTGAAAAAATCAAATAATACTGTATTGTATAAGAAGGTAAATATTCCTGTATGCTGTCATGTGAAATATCACTGCCCGATGACACGCTATGGTGACGGGGCTTGATGTAGGGGTGAAATGAAACAGTGACAATCTGACAAGGATTACCAAAACATCAAGGCATTACCTTCTAATTCAAGCCATTTATGTCGACAACTGATTAACGATAATCTTGTGAAAGCAACCTCTCTCCTAATGAACCACGAACACGGCAAGGATCATAGTCACGTCGGATTTGAACTAACGATTAGAATATCCAGACTCAGCAAAGGGTTAAAAAAAACCATCAGCTCTATACATGTAGTTAAACACATGATAATCATGGTAGAAAAAACGACATTTATCGGATCCAAACATATATCGGATACAAGTAGCACAAGAAAGGAGTGCTTGGATTTTGGTTGCACGAACGAAAGCCATTTCCAATAGGAACAAATTGCTTTGAAATGTTTGTGCTCTTCAGGTGTTCTCTTCGTCTGTAGGGATCGATCTGCCTTCTTTGCTGCAGATTTTGCGTATTTTGTTTGCAATCTGTGCTCATTGATGTTACCACGGTGTTTGAGAGTGTTTGGAAAGTGTTCAGTTGTACACATGAAGGCCATTTCAAACTAGTGAAGGACAAAATTGCTCTAAAATATCTGTGCTCGTCTGGTGCTTTTCGTCTGTAGGGATCGGTCTGCCGTCTTTGCTGCAGATTTTGCGCATTTTGTATGCAATCTGTGCTCACTGATGATAGAAAGGATCTTAAAGGGTTGGCAAAGATGCCAGATCTGTCGCCTTATCCCTTAAACTAAAGAGAGACGTTTGCCAAATAGAAAGAGGCGTCCAGAAAGAACATGGATCATACTGGTGATGTCGCCCAAGCTGGAGTGTGTGGCGTCAACAATGGAGCCACGTCATTGTTTTTTGTGTCCCCATAAGTAATGACATCATAGACAGAATACGTCAACAATCAGCTGACGACATAGACAAAGAGACTGTGGGCAGTGAAGTCGGCCGGAGGGTGTGTTGCGTTTGGGATGTAGCACAAAAGCAGGATTTGATGTTACAGGAACGGAATTAGGCAGAGATAAGTCTGGGGGCTACCTTCGTTCATTCGAAACCATTTCCTTTGCTTTAAAAATATATATTAGCAAGTCGCAGACGTAGGTATGGCGTGAAACTGATTTGGTACCATCAGTAAATCTTAGGTTGAAAGAGGTAAGATGTTGTATGTTATTGGGTCTTCGCCTCATTTACAAGGATGTTACCACGGTGTTTGAGAGTGTTTGGAAAGCGTTCAGTTGTACACATGAAGGCCATTTCAAACTAGTGAAGGACAGATTGCTCTAAATATCTGTGCTCGTCTGGTGCATTTCGTGTGTAGGGATCGGTCTGCCGTCTTTGCTGCAGATTTTGCGCATTTTGTATGCAATCTGTGCTCATTGATGATAGAAAGGATCTTAAAGGGTTGGTAAAGATGCCAGATCTGTCGCCTTATCCCTTAAACTAAAGAGAGACGCTTGCCAAATAGAAAGAGGCGTCCAGAAAGAACATGGATCATAGTGGTGATGTCGCCCAAGCTGGAGTGTGTGGCGTCAACAATGGAGCCACGTCATTGTTTTTTGTGTCCCCATAAGTAATGACATCATAGATAGAAAACGTCTACAATCAGCTGACGTCATAGACAAAGACACTGTGGGCAGTGATGTCGGCCGGAGGGTGTGTTGCGTTTGGGATGTAGCACAAAAGCAGGATTTGATGTTACAGGAACGGAATTAGGCAGAGGTAAGTCTGGGGGCTACATTCGTTCATTCGAAACCATTTCCTTTCCTTTAAAAATAAATCAGCAAGTCGCAGACGTAGGTATGGCGTGAGACTGATGTGGTACCATCAGTAAATCTTAGCTTGAAAGAGGTAAGATGTTGTATGTTATTGGGTCTTCGCCTCATTTACAAGGATGTTACCACGGTGTTTGAGAGTGTTTGGAAAGCGTTCAGTTGTACACATGAAGGCCATTTCAAACTAGTGATGGACAGATTGCTCTAAATATCTGTGCTCGTCTGGTGCTTTTCGTGTGTAGGGATCGGTCTGCCGTTTTTGCTGCAGATTTTGCGCATTTTGTTTGCAGTCTGTGCTCATTGATGATAGAAAGGATCTTAAAGGGTTGGCAAAGATGCCAGATATGTCGCATTATCCCTTAAAATAAGGAGAGACGCTTGCCGATTAGATACAGGAGTCCACAAAGGGTATGGATCACAGTGGTGATGTCGGCAAGCGGGAATTTGTGGCGTCAACAATGGAGCCACGTCATTGTTTTTTGTGTCCCCATAAGTAATGACATCATAGACAGAATACGTCAACAATCAGCTGACGTCATAGACAAAGAGACTGTGGGCAGTGAAGTCGGCCGGAGGGTGTGTTGCGTTTGGGATGTAGCACAAAAGCAGGATTTGATGTTACAGGAACGGAATTAGGCAGAGGTAAGTCTAGGGGCTACCTTCGTTCATTCGAAACCATTTCCTTTGCTTTAAAAATAAATCAGCAAGTCGCAGACGTAGGTATGGCGTGAGACTGGTTTTGTACCATCAGTAAATCTTAGGTTGAAAGAGGTAAGATGTTGTATGCTATTGGGTCTTCGCCTCATATACACGGATGTTACCACGGTGTTTGAGAGTGTTTGGAAAGCGTTCAGTTGTACATATGAATGCCATTTCAAACTAGTGATGGACGGATTGCTCTAAAATATCTGTGCTCGTCTGGTGCTTTTCGTCTGTAGGGATCGGTCTGCCGTCTTTGCTGCAGATTTTGCGCATTTTGTATGCAATCTGTGCTCGCTGATGATAGAAAGGATCTTAAAGGGTTGGTAAAAGATGCCAGATATGTCGCATTATCCCTTAAAATAAGGAGAGACGCTTGCCAATTAGATACAGGAGTCCACAAACGGTATGGAACACAGTGGTGATGGCGCCAAGCGGGAATTTGTGGCGTCAACAATGGAGCCACGTCATCGTTATTGTGTCCCCATAAGTAATGACATCATAGACAGAATACGTCAACAATCAGCTGACGACATAGACAAAGAGACTGTGGGCAGTGAAGTCGGCCGGAGGGTGTGTTGCGTTTGGGATGTAGCACAAAAAGCAGGATTTGATGTTACAGGAACGGAATTAGGCAGGGATAGGTCTGGGGCTACATTCGTTCATTCGAAACCATTTCCTTTGCTTTAAAAATATATATTAGCAAGTCGCAGACGTAGGTATGGCGTGAAACTGATTTGGTACCATCAGTAAATCTTAGGTTGAAAGAGGTAAGATGTTGTATGTTATTGGGTCTTCGCCTCATTTACAAGGATGTTACCACGGTGTTTGAGAGTGTTTGGAAGCGTTCAGTTGTACATATGAATGCCATTTCAAACTAGTGAAGGACAGATTGCTCTAAATATCTGTGTTCGTCTGGTGCTTTTCGTCTGTAGGGATCGGTCTGCCGTCTTTGCTGCAGATTTTGCGCATTTTGTTTGCAATCTGTGCTCATTGATGATAGAAAGGATCTTAAAGGGTTGGTAAAGATGCCAGATATGTCGCATTATCCCTTAAGATAAGGAGAGACGCTTGCCAATTAGATACAGGAGTCCACAATCCACTTTGAACCACAACTTTTAAAATTTCAACAACGGTTGTTGTCGAATATTGAGCGGCTTTCACACGGCTAACTAAAGTTTGACAAAAGATATTTTTGAAATTTTAAAAGTTGTCAAACTTGCAATTTCACACGTCCAACGCATGTTGTCAAACTTTCGTGTCATTTGACCGCCATGACTATATCGGTGCTGTCACGTGACAATTTCGTTGACTGCGATTCGTTGTTTCTGAACAACACGAGTTTTTTTAATACTTCGACAACAGTTTGACTACTCTGAAATTGGCACATTGTTGGAATGTTCACACTCTTAAACTCGAGTTTGACATGTGTTGACAAACGTTAGTTTGCCGTGTGAAGGCCGCTTTAGCCCTTCCTTGACACGCGGAAAGCTGAGTCATCACACCGTAGACAATTTCTATCAA